ACACGTCCGAAATGTTGCATCATAATCAATCGGTAGGAGGCAGGCAGAACCGGGCGACCTCGCACCGCGCACAATGCCCCGGGACACGTTGCAGTTTTGCTGCCGCCGGCAGCCCGGTGCTTTCGTCGCTCGGCCTGGCTCGGCCCGGCCTGGCTCGGCCCGGCCTGGCTCGGCCCCTCTCGCACTCGCGGCGCGTCCCGTAGGGGTGCGAGAGAGACACGCGGAGCACCGCGCAGCGCAGCACACTGCGTCCCGGCGACAAAGTCGTCCCCCATTCTGCTGTCGCGGCGGCGTGGCGGCGTGGCGGCGTGGCGGCGAGCACTTCGGTGCGGACCAAGGACCAAGGACCAAGGTCGCCAAGGCCCTGCCGCAGATGGAGAAGGCACGAGGAGGTTGCCAGTCCCTGGAGGGTCCTTCCCCGTCGCCGGGGTGCAACACGTGCATGGCTGGGGGTGGGGTCGGGCGGGCGGAGGCGGAGAGGCAAGGAAGAAGCGGGGCGGGGCGGGGCGAGGTTGGTGGGTGTGGTAGGGCGGGAAGGGCGGGTAGGGCGGGGTCCTCCCCATTCCTGGCGAGCCGACACGCGTCCCCGCCGCTTATTACGCTAGATATTGCATTGCACGGCCCTCCTCCCCTCCATCATTCCTGCGCGCCCCCACCCCCTCCCCTTCCTCCCTCCCCTCCCTCCTCGTCCATTTCCTCTACGACTGGCATTCATACTTGCCGCCTGAATGGGCTGCACGGTACGGTGCATCGCCCAAAGGCATCGCCCAAGGCTTCGCCAGACTGGCGCCTCCGCGCCAAGCCTAGAGCGCCAAGTCTAGAGCGCCGAGCCTAGAGCGCCGAGCCTAGAGCGCCGAGCCTAGAGCGCCAAGCCTCCCACGACGGTGTCCAGCTGACTAGCGCCCGGCCGTCGACGTCCACGTCGCCCTCGGCGTCCTCGTGGGGCCGGAAATATCCGAGCCAACCAATCAGATTGCTTGATTGCTCGCCCGTGCTGGCGACGAGTACCAGCAGCTCTACGAAGGGAGGCGGCGGGGGCGTGGGGGCGGCGTGGGGGCGGACGGCCGTCGTGGAGGCGGTGCATTTGCATACGAATGGCGGGACGTTCTGTGGGCAAGTGGATGCTTTCTGTCAACAATGTGCCAGCGCGCCGCCACCGTGGCACCACCACGTCGGCGTCCACGTCGGCGGCCATGGCAGCCTGGCTGGCCACAACGCACACACACACACACTCACTCACACTCACACACTTGAGGGTTCACAACGAGAGCAGGCTTTCTGCTTTGTGATGGGACACCGCAACACAGCTGTCTAGCTGCTTCGGCTAGGCCTGTTGCCTAAGTAGGGCCCGCATGACGACGCAGAGTTCAGCCATCTCGCCCTATCGGCCCGTCATCGATCCGCGATGTAATTGCAGGCCGAAAAATGATTAGGAGCAGCCCAGCCCTTGTCTCTGTCTCTCTCAGAGTCGCGCTATCGATACAGCAACGCGTAACAGCGGAGCGGGTTGCCTATACCCGACTTTGCGGGCGCACTGGAATATAGCGCGGCTGAAAGTCGCGGTAATCACGTGAGTGTGAGCGTGACTGGAGACTGCGCCAGCGACAGTGCACCGCAGCCCGCCCCGCCCCGCCCCGCCCCACCCCGCCCCGCCCATCTGCATGTGCCGCGGTCCAATCCATTACCGCTGCAGGCTGCAGCAGCACTGCAGCAGCCTCGCTAGCAGCCCCAGCGAGCCCACTGCGCCCCGCAGCGCGGCGCTCCGGCCGGCCTGGCCGTCGACGAGGGCTTGTCCGAGGCCCTGTCCGAGGCCCTGTCCGAGGCCCTGTCCGAGGCCCTGTCCGAGGCCCTGTCCGAGGCCCTGTCCGAGGCCCTGGCCGAGGCCCTGTCCGAGGCCCTGTCCGAGGCTAGCGCGCGGACGGCGTCTCGCCCCTGTCGCCTGCCCGACGAGGAGATGAAGGAGGAGACGAGGGTGTTGCTGTCCGCGCATTGTCTCGCCCTGGTCGCCCTGGCAGCGTCCCGCGCGTCCACATGGAACAGGCACTCCTTGTCTGCGGCCGGGTACCGCACCCGGCGTCCCTGGTCCCTGCGCCTCCCCCTTCCCTCGGTGACCACCCTTTCCAGGCCTTCCCCCTTTCGCTTACCAGATCCAGCCGGATCCGGCCGCCCGGCCTCCGACTCTTCTTCGCCATTCACAGGGATGGACTCGGCCTCGGGCACCAGCGAGCGGAGTGACTTTGGCGCGCTGCTCTGCGGCAGGTTAACGTCGGCGTCGTGCGTCGCGTGGCGCACGCAATTCGCACTCCAGCCCTGCTTGGCGCCGCCCCCGCGCCAACGCGCGCACAGCCATTCCGAACAGAGTTCTCATCGCTCTGTCTCTCTCGCGCCCCGACGGCACGCCCCGCGAGTGCGAGAGAGACTGAGTGCTGTTCGGAATCGGCCTGCAGGCGGTCCTCCAGGCCGGGTCTCGCTAAACGGTTCCCCCGCACGGCCTCCTTGAAGGCGATGGAGAGTCTGATGAAGCCAGGCGTCCGGGGCTGCCTCCGTCCCGGTCCCCCTCGTGGCACTGGTACTCGTGCAGGTCCCGGCGGTCCCGGAGGAGAGAGGCCGCGGCGACGCGACGGCCCGGGCGCCGGGCACTCCACCGCGACGCGCGGCACGGCCAGGCACGGCGCTCCTGGCTGGTGGCTCTGCCTGCTCTGCGGACTGATTCCGAGGCTCGCTTTCGTCGCTCTGTCCCTCTCGCGCTCACGGCGCATCCCGTATGGGTGCGGCGCGACGAAAACGACTCTCGGAATCAGTCTGCTGGCTGCTCTGGCTGCTCTGGCTCGTGGATTGGTATGTCACGCCCAGAAGACAGGCACGGGTCAACAAGCGGCGGGGCGGGGCGGGGCGAAGCTGCCTCCATGGTCCGGAAAGAAACTCCCCCGCACCGCAGACGGCATGCCTCGGCCTCGGCGTCCCCCCACGCCGGCCACGCCACGGAAACCATTAAATGGAGCCAGTTAGTTCGAAATAAAGAATGAGAGGAAAATTATTTTTGCGATGGTGGTAGTTGTTTTTTTTTCTCACATACATTCGCGTGTAGGGTCAGGACGAGGAAGAATCGATCACTACAGGAGCGGGGAAAATCGCACATCCCTTTTTTAGACTGAACTGTCACATTCTGAAACTAGGAAATACTTTCTACTGGTTATTGGAACGTGCACACCCGTTGGCCGCATTCTTGCTTGAGACGTTTGGTGGAGTATGCGCTAACAGCGTTATCACTCATGCCATCAAGGGGTGCTTAGAAAAGTTGGACCCGCATAGCGGTGAGTTAAAAATAAAACCCTAGACTGGCTCGGCGGGCCGCGGCGCCGCTCCTCGGGGGGCAGCGCCAGGGGAGCGCTCCGAGGAGACGCAAACGACCCGTCCAATCGTCCAATCACAGGCCGCCCTTCCCTCCCCGCTGCGGCGCTGCGGGTACTTGGGTACTTCCGCGCGGCTGACGTGGGGCTCGCAGTGACGCGCGGCCCACTAGGCTGGACTCGGGGCTGGCCGGCTGACGCGCAAGTCGAGGGCCGCGCCGACCACGCGGCGCTCGTGCCACCCCCAAGGACCAGAGCGCCTGGGCGTCCAGGGCGTCCAAGGCGTCCAGGGACCCGGAGCAACAGTTGTTGCCGCGCGGTGGGGTTCGGGGCGAGCAAGCAGGGAGGGCGAGCGGGGCCTCGCCGGGGCCCTCGATGCCTTTCGGCCCTCGGTTAATCCGTGCTAAGTGGTGGACGTGGCGGAGCGGGGCGTGGTCATGGCGGCTGTGGGGCCGGCCGCCCCTGGCCGTGGCCACGCCGTGGCGGAGTGCGGACACTGCCGCCTGCAGCGGCTGGAGCCCCAGCCAGCCGGAGTTCCAGAGCCCCAGTGTCCTAGACGGCCCCGAGAGGCGGGAGGGGGCCCTCCATTGAGCAGACCAAAAGGAATTTGGGTCGAATGCCAACGGCTCCGTCGCTTCTTCATTCCCAACCTCGAACCGCGCAAACCCTGCGCTAAAGGCTAAACCCTCTCGAACCCCCCCAGGCTGGCGCAGGCCCGCGGCAGGGCCGGGCAGGGCCGCCAACCCCTCTCGGCGCCACCCCTTTCCATGCCTTAATTTCATTTTTCCGCCGGAGTCACACAATTGCAGCCCCACTGGGGGAGGGAGGGGAGGGGGCGCCGAGCTGGCGTCACACACAGCAATGCCCCCCACCCCACCCCCTTCCCCGCCCCCTTGCGGCATCCACAGCCACTCACACCGATAACCCTCCTCAGCCGCAGCCGCCATCATTTCTCACGCTCTCGATTCTCGATGCTTCCAATCAGACGCAATGTCGATGAAAGGAAAGGAGAGCGAAGCGGAATATTCTTCGGACCAGCCCACAAAGCCGCCGGCGAGCAGGTGGTCGCGTGTGTCGGGGTATGGCGGCGGTGACGTCGACTCACCGCAATTCGAGAAGACGATTGCCAACCATGGCGGCACCCTGGGCACCCTACCCGAACGCCGAACCTACGCCTCAGCCCCGGTCCACTCTGCCCACCCCACCCCGCCCCGCCCCGCCCCGCCCGCACGTGGCGAAAGGCGGGGGCGAGGGGGGACGTCGCGCATGCCTGCGTCGTCCTAGCCGCCCCTAGCCGCCCCCGACGGCGCCGACGCCCACCCGGGTGGCTGCCTGCCGCGGCGGGGCAGTCATCCTTCCTGTCCAGACCGACGCGGAGGTCTCGCACATCGGTGTCCTGGGGTCCAGGGCCGCCCCGAGTGGTGCACCCAAAAAGGCACTGGTTGGCCGCGGGCCGCCGTCGCCGCCGCAGCCACGCCGAGACGCCGAGGCGCGGAGATGAGGCAGCCCGGTGGGCGGACCGGGCGGACCGGGCGGCAGGCGCGGCAGGCCATGGGGGCGGCAGGGGGCTGCTAGCGGCCCGGCTCCAGTCTCCTTCGCGTGCCCTGGCGTGCCGGAGCAGGGAGCAGACGACGCCGCGGACTCGCCGGGGACTGGCGACTCGCGAGGCGGGCGCGGACGCGCGGACCGGCCGACGGCCAGCCTGACGAGGGGCATCGCCTCCAGCGGGACGCTCGCCGCACCCAGCACCAGGTAAAGGGACAGCGCCACGTCACGTCTTGCGTTTCCGTCCACTTCCTTGATGCAGCCAGTGGTGGAAGTATTTGGACAGACTGTCCGATTCCGAGCTTCACTTTCCCTATCGTCCCCAACCACGTCCTTTCTAGATTCCCTAAAGGAATTGTTTGCCACGCCCCAAGCAAATTTCCGGGTTTAAACCGTTTTCAGGTTGAACCAAGAATTTCCGCGGGTTTAGCAAGGACGCGGTCCCCCAACCCCGGACCCGCGACCCCCACCGCGTCCGTATGCGCGAGCGAAGCCAAGCAGTAATGGAGCAATTTTGTGGCGCCCGATTTCATTTCGTTTGATTCCATCACGCGCCGGCCGGCACTGGATAAAGAAAATGCTTGAATCATCAATTTGTATTGATCCCTCGCACACGACCCTGTGTTTTGTTTCAGCTTCGTTGCTTTCGCCATTTTGTTGGGATTTTTTTGTGTCCCTTTTTCCGGTTTAATTTCTGAATTTGGAATCAAATCCGTGGGAATTCCCTGAAGTCCCTCCTCGGCCGGGCGGCGGCTGGACGGATCGCCTCACCGCCCCCATCGTCGCCCTGGCCCTGTTGACTCTGTCCCCGGAGGAAGGACTGCAAAAGCAAGCAAATAAGTCGGGGCGCGGGCGGGGCGGGGCGGGGCGGGGCGGGGCGGGGCGGGGCGGGCTCATTGCCTCCGGTGGCTCCACCCCGCCCCGTGGCTGAGTGGCCCCACTTGACGTCGCGACACTGGCAGTGCTCACAGCGACGCTGCAGGTCGACACGAATGTGCCGCGCGCGATCAAACAGACTAACTGCAGGCGGCTTCCGAAAAGCGCCTCGTCGCTCTGTCTCTCTCGCACGCTTACGGCACGCCTCTCGAGCGCAAGGACGACAGAGCGACTGAAACGCTTTTCGGAATGAGCCTGCCCCCGTCGCCGCGTCGCGTCGCCGCGTCGCGCCGTTCCAGCCCCGGACGAGTGCAGCCAAAGTGCAACGGTGCAGCGGCCAAGAGTCGCAGTGCCGCCGGTGGCGAACAGTCTCGGCCCTTTTTCGCGGCCAAACGTCGAGACCGGACCACAGTGAGTGGAGGTGGCCAAAATTCTGGACGCGTTTTGAGCTCCAGAGTCGCTGAACAGGACTCGACAGGGGTGACAACCCACCAAATGAATTGCTCTTTGAACGACGAATCCATTGGTGGTGTCACACGTTCGGTTCGAGTCCTGTTTAGCGACTCTGGAGCTCAAAACGCGTCTTGAATTTTGCCCACCTCCACCGGTCTTCTGGCCCACTGTGCGGACTCACAGTGTTGGAGTCCGAAGGTCTGCGAAGCCCTGCCGATCGCTGATGCCGCCGTGTGCGGTGGCGCGTCGTCGGCGGGCTGCCCCATTGTGCTGCACCGTTCATCCCCCGAAGCTTTCATGACGGCTCGTTTTGGCAAGTGGACGGATAACCGCAATCCGACCGCCGGAACACTGGAAGCAGCTGGAAGGCGAGGGAGGGGAGGGGGAGGCATCCCGAACACGCTCAAACCGCGCCCATTACGTGGCTCGAGTGGCTAGAGAAGCCCAGCAAACGGGCCGCGCGCTCCTTGATGGGGTTTTAACGCACGCGCCACACGCCGCGGCCGCGGACCCAGCCAGCCAATGACGGCGCATCCGCGCTCCGCGGCCAGCCGATCCAGTCCCTCGGCGAGGCGGGCGGACGCCGGCGGACACCTGCAGACTGATTCCGAGAGTCGTTTTCGTCGCTCTGTCTCTCTCGCAGTCGGGGCGTCCCGTAGGTGCGAGAGAGACTGGCTCTCGGAATCCGTCTCCGGGCCGTCGCCCAGCAGTGCTCGGAGTGGCTCAGTCTCGCAGTGCCCGCGGCCGCGTCGTGGCCCCACACTGTAATGAGACTCGGGGTTGTTGACTGTGGCGAGGCCGGCGAGGCCAGCGAGGCGGACCAAGCGGACGTCCTCCTCGCCCCGCCTTCACCGGCGCCTCCGTCTCGCTCACGCTCACCTTTGAAATAAAGTGCAGACGCCGAGGGCCAAAGCTGAAGCGCCTCGCTTATCAAGGATCAAGGCTGAAACGCCGCCCTCGCCACGGCATGGCCACGGCGCGGGGTTCGGTTCTGGTTCCGGCCGAGCACAAAACAAGGGCGGGAGTGGGGGAGGGGGAGTCAGGGGATGCAGCACCATGACACTGCGAATTCTTCGGCATCATCTCTGCGGCCGATGGGCCGACCGCGGCCCCGGAGTCGGGCCGGGCCGGGCGCGCCCCTGGGAGGGCGGCAACCCATCAAACAGATACGTTCCTGCTCTAGTCCCAGGGTTCCAGCCAGCCGTGGAAGGAAATTACTCTGAGCCGCCGGCGGGCGGGGCGGGGCGGGGCGGGGCTGACAATGCGAGGCCCACACAGCCACAATGTCGGTGGCGTGTCGCTCGCGAAGCGGGGGCGGCAAGGCATCGGCCAGGGAGTCACAGCGTCGCCCGGAGTGAGCGAGTCTGTCTCTCTCGCAACCAAACGGGACGCCCCATAAGTCGGACAGAAACAGAGATGCCATTCGGGACGGGGCTGCTGGTCCAGAGTCCTTGGCTTCGGCGCGTCAAGGACTCACGCCCCCATTCTGCCACAGGGCCTTCCCCGTGACGAGGGACACGTGACACGCGTGACGACGGCGTGACGGCGCTGTGACGAGATGGACAGCGACGAGTTCCGCGTCCGCGGCGCGGAGATGGTGGAGTACATCTGCCGCTACCTGGAGCAGCTGCCCGAGCGGCGCGTCGTGCCCAGCGTGGAGCCCGGCTACCTCAAGCACGTCATCCCCAAGGAGGCGCCCGAGCACGGCGAGAACTGGGACGACATCATGGCGGACGTGGAGAACAAGATCATGCCAGGGGTGACGCACTGGCAGCACCCCCGCTTCCACGCCTACTTCCCCGCCGGCAACTCCTTCCCCTCCATCCTGGGCGACATGCTCTCGGACGGCATCGGCTGCATCGGCTTTTCGTGGGTGAGTCTCGCAGTTTCGCACTTGAGCTTTCGTTTGCACGTTTCAAAGTAATCAGTGTAATACATGGTGACTTCGTCCTCAGGCCGCATGTCCCGCTCTAACTGAACTGGAGACGATCGTCGTCGACTGGCTGGGTAAGCAGTTTCTAACCATCGTCAAAGCGCGACCGACCACAGACTGTTAGTTTGACGTATTTGCCGTTCTTTTTGTGTGCTTTCAGGAAAGGCCATAGGATTACCCAAAGACTTTTTAGCTCTAGCCGAAGGAAGCAAAGGAGGTGGCGTCATACAGGCAAGATTTTTTTGGCTTAACTGGGAACGGAAAGCGGTGGGTGTGTTTCATCTTCATCTCATTCTGATTGGTGCTGCGCATGCTGCAGACGTCGGCCAGCGAGTGCGTGCTGGTGTGCATGCTGGCGGCGCGCGCGCAGGCCATCAAGCGCCTCAAGCTGCAGGAGCCCGGCGCCGAGGAGGGCGTGCTGCTGGGCCGCCTCATGGCCTACTGCTCCAAGGAGTCGCACTCGTGCGTGGAGAAGGCCGCCATGATCAGCTTCGTGAAGCTGCGCATCCTGGAGCCCGACCAGCGCTGCAGCCTGCGCGGCCCCACGCTGCGCCAGGCCATGGAGGAGGACGAGGCGGCCGGCCTGGTGCCCTTCTTCGTGTCCACCACGCTGGGCACCACGTCGTGCTGCTCGTTCGACAACCTGATGGAGATCGGCCCCGTGTGCCGCCGCTTCCCCTGCGTCTGGCTGCACGTGGACGGCGCCTATGCGGGCAACTCCTTCATCTGCCCCGAGCTCAAGGTGAGTCCTGCAGACTGATTCCGAGGGTCGTCTTGCTCACTCTGTCTCTCTCGCACTCATAGGGCTTTTGATGGGTGCGAGAGAGACAGAGCGACGAAAACGACGCCCGGAATCAGCCTCCTGGCTGGCCAGCCTCGATCACGCCGTTGACGCCGTTGACGCACTCGCCTCGCAGCCGCTGCTGGACGGCATCCAGTACGCCGACTCGTTCAACACCAACCCCAACAAGTGGCTGCTCACGTCGTTCGACATCTCGTGCCTGTGGGTGCGCGACCGCCTGCGCCTCACGTCCGCCCTGGTGGTGGACCCGCTGTACCTGCAGCACGGCTACTCCGAGTCCGCCATCGACTACCGCCACTGGGGCGTGCCGCTGAGCCGCCGCTTCCGCGCGCTCAAGCTGTGGTTCGTGATGCGCAGCTACGGCATCGAGGGCCTGCGCCAGTACATCCGCCACCACATCAAGCTGGCCAAGAGCTTCGAGGCCAGGGTGCTCAAGGACCCCCGCTTCGAGGTGTGCAACGAGGTGAAGGTACGTTGTGCGCGCTGCGCGGTGGCGGCGATAGCCTGTCGGGTTGGACTTCCCTTCCCTCACTCGGCGCGCTCTGCCTGCTCTGCTCTGCCCTCCGCAGCTCGGCCTGGTCTGCTTCCGCCTCTGCGGCTCGGACCAGCTCAACATGAAGCTGCTCAGCAACATCAACGCGTCGGGCCGCCTGCACATGGTGCCCGCCACCGTGCTGGACAAGTACATCATCCGGTTCTGCGTCACGGCCCAGAACGCCACCGAGGAGGACGTGGGTAAGTCGCCGCTCGTCTGATCACAGCACCGCTGAAGCGCAGCGAGTACAATGGGTCTCTATTCGCAGAACACGCCTGGCAGGTCATCACGGAGGTGGCCTCCGTGCTGCTCGGCGAACAGAACGGGGAGCCTCAGGCAAGTGTGCTCGCCGACTTTCGCGATCGCTCTCCTGGTCGTCCTGGCCGCGAAAGTCATGGTCCTCGTGGTCTTCGGCTTGCAGGAGCAGTTGGACGACCGCAAGAGGCGGGAGACCCTGGCCTACAAGCGGTCCTTCTTCGTGCGCATGGTGTCGGACCCCAAGATCTACAACCCCAAGATCGCCAAGGCCGTGCCGGGCGGCCGGCGCCACGTGTCCTCCGAGGCCGACATCGAGGACATCGAGGAGGTCGACAACGACGAGCCCGAGGTCGAGAGCGCCAGCAACGTCACCATCCAGAAGCCCATGTGAGTGTCTGTGTTCTCTCTCTCGTTCTTCGCGGCCCACGCTAATCCGCTGTCTTTCTTTCCGCTCCAATCTCAGTGCGACTTGGATCAGCTGGCCGCTCGAGTTCCTCTTCCAGGGCGTGTTCGACGAGGCGCACCACGCCGAGGTGCCGGTCAGGTGAGCTGCTGTGGCTGCTGCTCCGCCGCTGGGCCTTCCCCGGCGAGTCCAGTCAGTGTGGTGGCGGGGTGGCGGGGGCGCCTCTGTGTGACAGTCATTGTAGTCTCTGCGACAGGTTCCGCCACCTGGACACCATGGTGCGGCTCAAGGCGCGCCGCGGCAGCTCCTCGCCGTCGCCGGAGAACGACCCGTCGCGCGACGACGCGGGCAGCGGCGGCAGCGGGGGTAGCGGCAGCGTGTCCCCGCAGCAGCAGGTGCCTCCGTCCGTGTTCGCGGCCGCCGCGCCGTTGCCGCCGTCGGCGTCCTCCCCGCGGCGGTCGCCCGCCTTCCCGAGGAAGCTGCACTTCGGCCGCTCCGCCGCCGCGCCGCAGGAGGACAAGCAGGACAAGCAGGACAAGGGCGGCACGAGTCGGTCGGGCCGCGGCTCGGCGCCGTAGTCACCAGCCAAGCCGCCCAGCCGCCCAGCGACAGCGACCCCTCCCTCGTGCTCGCGGCTTGCAGGCCGATGCCGATGCTGATGGGGCGGGGGCTGGTCCCTGGTACAGTCTGTGGCCACGACTCCGGCGCCCCGCCGCCTTCGCTGCAGTTCGCAGTATAATTCCAACGTTTCATTCCAAAATTAAATTCCATTGATAAGTAGTTCTTAGGCCTTTTCTCGAATTTTATCTTGGTATTTATAGCACTAAACAAGAGGTATAGTTTGAGTACCTCGTTTTCTTTTCCTAAAGAGCACCCAGTTTTTAGACGGTTTAGTTGATTGTTGATTCAATTTTCTTGTATAGATAGACACATGAGTATCTCTTCCTGAGAAGTATATATATAGTTCCAAATTTTTAAAAACTTTGTTGATGATTTGAGTTACTTCAAGTTAAGTGTAATTCCCACTTCTGTGAAGGTTCGAAGAAAGGAGGAGAAAGTTCCTATAACTGTATTTGTTTTATATTCAGGTAGGGAATTGAAGAAACACATTTTAAGTTGTTGTTTATTATTTATTTAGAGCATGAAACCAGGACAATAAAGGAAACAAGATGCAAGATGTGAGAAGGTTCTGTAATAACAGTGTCTACAACCTGGTTTAAGATGAGAGCACCAACATTAGCTCAAAGGGTCTGATATTAAACAGCAATAGAAAATGTAATGAGCACTAGTTCATGGCCATTCCCATCTCTCCTTTCCTCTCTTTAAAGACAAATCAGACGCAAAATTTCTCAAGCGTCACCCATTTTATACAAAGGAATGCATGCATGAATGGATTTGAAGTTCTACAAACTACGCATGAAAACAACAGACGAAAACTTAGTTGTAAAGATTGTCGGAAACACTCATTACACATCCAAGCCTGTTTGTACTTTAACACATTTGTCAATGGTTGCTTACATTTAAAACATAGCACAACATACAGTAGCGGAGAACTGCTGAAAACAGTTCCACAGAATTTACAAAGAAGAAAAAATACTTCAAGAGTTAATTCTTTAAGTACCTCAAAATGTCTTGCATTGTTAAATTCTGACCCAAAATAAACATCATGTTTTTTTAAAAATGCATTATTAAAATGATCTAATTAAAAATGTTGCAAACTGCCACAGGCTTGTGATAAGTGCAGCTCAACTATTTGCTCAACTTCTACGGGTTTTCATTTCTTCGCAAGGCATTTAAGAGGAAGATCTTCTCACTATTTGGAAGTCAGGAATAAAAGCAATTACATAGTTTATTGTTTGCAAGACTTATCAGATTTGTTTATTAATATCTTCAATGAAATTGAAATGAAAATAATTTATCACTTGTCACATGAAAGCTGTAGCTATTGCTACCACAACACGTATTGCACTTGCATCAAATTTACACAGCAAACTTAGCCAGTCACAGATACTGTCATTATTTCTGCAGCGATAAACAGTTATAGGTTTCTATGAGCAACTTACACCTCCATAGATCCGAGAATTTAAGTTCAAACAAAAGATCAATTTTGGATAACACCAAACAGAAAATTGCAGTACATTTTTAGACATCTTAGTTTTCTATCAGTATCACACAATATACACCTAACATAAATCTGATCAGGGTCCAACTTTCTTACAACTTCAAGAAGAAATTAAAGGCGAACCATATTAGATTCAATCTTTTATTCTTTTTAACAACAAAATAATAAGTTTGCATATTGATCAAAGTTTAACAGTAATGAGGTAGTCAGAAACAGTGAGTCCCTGCACTCCTGAGTTCTATGATTTGGAATAGTGGGATCAACAACATAAAATACACCACAAAGGAGATTAAGTATCCACTTTGTTAGTGATAACAAGGGTTGAAAAATTAAAAAGTAACATGTCCTAGGTGCCAACATAACAGCAATTGTTTCTAAAGACCTGTAATGTTCTTTGTTGGAATAAACCTAATTTTAAAATCTATCTGCCTCACACTAGCCTTCCAACTTACATAAATAAGACTTTTGGTATAGGAAAAACAAAATAATGTCACAAAAATGTTCAAAAAAGAAAACAATGAAATAAATTAAACAGTTGATTGATCCTACGGAACATTGACTTGGTGCCAAGTGTAGAATACAAAACGCAACATTTTATTTACAGAATGACATAATTCTTATATACAATAAAATACAAAATAAAAATACATTACAACAAACAACAATTCTCATCGCATATTGCAATGCTCAGTTAATAAAATTGTGATTTAGGCTTTTCTACAATGTCAGCTTCCTGCATCCCACAGCAAAGCACAAAGAGAAAAAAAAAGTGAGACTGGTGCAAACCTGAATTGGGTTAAGTACAATTTACGATCGTATATAATTCTGGATAGTTGGTGTTGATGTCCCACGATTCAGTCTCCGGCCACTAAAACAGCAGAAAAAGCAAAACAAAAAAATGATGTAAGAAACATTGCATGTGGACATCATAGTACAGAACTCTTGAATGAAATCAACTTACGAAAGGGAGTTATGCCGAGGGTATTCGTGAAAGACTTCATTTCCATTCTCACTGGCTAAGGGGCTCTCTCTGTAGGGAGGGCGACATGATGCTAGTTTTGACTCCAAAGCCTGAAACACAAATTATTTATATAAATAAAACACAAATAATCAAGATGAAATGTGAGCACATCTCATGAGCTCTGTTCCTCTTTCTTTAATGCAAGCTGTTGTTAAGGAAAACGTAAAGCAGAAGGGGAGAAACCCATAATAAAAGTCTAACACTGTACTATCAATTTATCAGTTGTTTCCTCATTCAACATAAGAAAAGGTGAAAAATAAGTTCACAAACACCAAGCAAAATGGGGGCAAAAAACTGTGTTGCTGTGTTTATCATGAGAATATAGATGAGCATCTAAAAAAGCCACCTTCAAAGCACAGCATAACAAAAAAAAATACTCTGGATGAAATAGCAAACGCAAAAGCTGACAGTTCAATTCTAGTAGGCAGTTGTCCTAGTTGGCACAAACGATAATTTCATTCATAGAATACATCTTTCTTTTTAAGAGCACAATCTCAGTGAGAAGCAATATTACTGAATGCCTACTGAAATCAGACTGCCTTGACAGAGAACTCTACCTGCAGTCACACAAAATGAGTGATGAGCACTGAAGTGAAGAAAGGGGCAGAAGGGAAACCAAAAGATTCAAGCTTCAGAGTACAGCAGGTGCTGCCCACCATGCCGTGATAGGTGAAGGTGAAGGGAGAAGTACAGCCATCACATTTTCCCAAAACAAACAAAGGCAAAATAAAAGAAAACGGACCTGAGGGTTTGCAGATGTGCAGATGAATCAACTGAAGACCAACCAGAGGGGACTGTGGGGTTTTATGACTAGGGTTGACCAGCACAGTCATTCTTAAAGTACATTTTTAAACTAAATCTGACTTTAGTTTTAGAAAAATGAGCATAGACAATGGCACAGTAAGTGGCAAAATCTAAAGTATAATACAAAATTACAAATTTCTTTTCTAAAAATAAATAGATTCCCATTTATTGGGACATTAACATTGGCCTAAGGGAGTATGAGAAAAAAATATACTTCAATCTGACTGTACAAATGGGATTAGTGGGACAAACGGGATAAAAAGTAGGAGTCATGGGTTTTGTGGTAGACAAGATTCAGTCCCCGAGAAGGCGCTTAGAGACAGACTGTTTCGGAGCTGCTGAAAGAATGGTCGAGGCTGAAATTTGGGAGATGTAGGGGGTGAAAAGCGAGGTCGTGTCGGTCGAGGAAGGGTATCAGGATGGGGAAAGGGACGTTCTGGTTCCACGTTGCCTGCTGCTGCACAGCAGCACTTGACCCTGCTACATCCGGGACATAACCACTTCTCAAGCTGCAGACAAACAATACGCCCCCATCATTTGCTGCTCATCAAACTTCAACCAATTCTGTGGCTATTCGAAAACACCTCCCTTATCCAAAGATCTTTTTGAGGAAGTGGCGGGAAAAAATTTAAAATTAAAGAAACCAAAGAGATTGTGGTCAAGTGAAACAAGTTCAGCTCACCGTAACCAGCTTATATGCATTATAAATATAGGCACCTATGATCTAGTCAAGTAGACAGCTCCACTTGGTGAGGTACATTGAGCTGTGTTGAAATCTGTGGCACAAATCACAATGTGCAGATAACTTTCAATGCCATAGGCAAACCATTCATTTCAATGAGCAACAAATGAACAAAATCTAAACACCAAACAAAAATTGAGTAAAGGCAAAGCTAAAAACATCATGCTGCGCCAAGAAATCATTCTATGGCAGTGCCAAAAAGCATCAAATTATCTGCACACTGAAATGTGTGTGTAATTTCTATGCCCTACTTTTAAATTTGAAAGATAGATCACAATTTGAAGCTTAAACAAAAAGCAATAGGTAGAAAATTTTGATTGTAGGTCTAGATAATTGAACCATGCTTCAAGTGAGTTCTACAAATTTCGCATAATGAAGAGAAAGATTAAAATGAGAGGGGGAAAATGACACCCAGCACCAAAAATGCACTGCACCATTGTGTGCTTCTTGTGGTAATATTTAGTCATATGAAAAATGAACATGAAATCCTGTACTTCCAAGCAATGTGAGAATAAAGTATGTTAATCATCATATTTCACGAACAGGAAGAGGACAAAGATTTAGGATGGCATTTAACCATTGTATTCAATTCTAACCACACATCCAGACATAAGTTTCTTGTAAATAGGGCTTTAAATGAAACTTGTGTATGCTTGTGGAAAATTGTGACCACTCTATATTAATGTAAAGTAACAATAATTCCAGCGCATTACAGAGCCGTGAAAGATGGAAAACAAAGAAAACTGCTGGTATATACAGTGCTCAAAATAAAACCGGGTTCTGTATAAAAAGTAGAAAACTAAAGCAGGGAATGGGCAACATGCATCTGTAGCTTACCCCAACTTTCCGTAATAGGTCACCAACAATATTCATGGCAGATATCCGTGTAGGTGGTGGAAGAGCATTGTTGTTGGTTCCAATGGCTGCAATGGCAACACAAAACACCATAGTTGAGAGACAAGATTTTATAAATAGGACATCTTGGATTGTGAGACTAAATTGTAACCCCATTTGGCAAAAGGAGAAGGGTACAAAAAATTAGGGGTGGGAACAACATGATGTATGTACACTTCTGATTGAGCTCCAGGCATAATCATCAAAATATTTAGTAAGGAACAGTATATTTACATGCTGTTTGTGCTTGTACGTCAATATGTGTGCAAGTTAATAGGTTGCAATAAGGTTTTCACTACTCTACAAAAAAAATGTATATAACAGATAGGAACAAAACATTATTGTTTTATTAAAGATGTTCATATAAAAATAAATTTATAAAATATTACTCTGCTCTACAAAACCAAAACAGCTATAACTAGCTGCAGCACACTTTGTAGCTTTCAATATTTTGAGTTCATCCTAAGCAGATACATAAGTGGGGAGAAAGACTAATGTGTTGCACAGCCATGTCCAAAATCACGCAGCACCCTTGTGCTCTGTAGAGACAAAACATAATGATCAGTGGATAAAGATTAAATGAGGTGCAAATTATGCTCTGTACTTTATTTTTTATTAATGTCTTAAGCTTAACAAGTATGCAAAGTTCATGCATGCAAACTAAATTTGAGGGGTGAATACAGAAGCATCAAGAGGCAGTCTTACATGCAGCTAAGCTAAGTTCATGCAGGATTCTGTAGAATTAAAGCGACTACTGTACTTACAATAATCATTAAGATTCTCAACATAAATCTATGATCATCTACAGAGAATTCCTTTCACACGTGAAAGTATAATCAGTCATTAAGTTGCAGAAAAATACAATAGCAATATGATAGGTACACAGATTTAATAGGAATATTTCATGATCCTTGAGAACCTTTAAGGAAAATCTGCAATTATTATTTAACTTGGTTTAATTAATTCTGATTTCTTATTGAAAGTGAACTGCAGTTGAATGGCAAGATTCTATAATCACAACCATGTATTGTGAAGAGAAGGGAGCAGCTTCAATGCAAATCACACACTATGCAATAATTCATGACATGCATAAATTCAACAGAAGGGGGAAATATTAACAAATTTCACATCAGATCAAGCCAACTTCAAGGCAGAAATAATTATGCAATCATGCAAAGCAAGACTTTGAGCAACTACACTGCCTCTAAAAAACATTTTCAAAATTATGAAATGTTTCGGGGCCTAGTGAGCTTTGGTGAAGAGGGGCGTCCAATACAATGGAACACCTTTGAGTTTCGAAAAGCACTACTTATACTCAGCTTACTTTTGATGGGTGATGGTGATGTTATTGTTTGAGTTTCCATTTCAGCTGTTACCAATTTGTTTGAGTCCACAGGTGAACTTCTTCTTCTCTCCAAAACTTTTTCATTATCATTTTTGTCTTGCCTCTTTGAGATAACTATCTCCTGCTTCATATCTACAATAAAAACAACAAATGAGCTCAATACATGATAAATACCAAGACCATGGGGGAAGGGAGGAACATCAATATGAAACTTCTTTGCTATACCTCTTGCTTCATCTTTAAGTCTTTGAACCATGGCTTGCAATGATTCCTTCTCATCCAATTCAGATTCTAGCAAGGCATTGCGTTCAATAGCTAGATTCATTTTAGTCTCAAATTCTCCTAGAGACACATACATTGCCCTGAAAAAATATGAAATTAGAAACCACTATTAGAAAAGAATGTTAAGATTTGAGGATAAAAAATTGCAGGCAAGGAGGTACTGACCTTTGCGTTCTTTCCAGGTCATCATTTTTCTGTTCAAGTTCTCTAATGTATTTTACTAACTTTTCTTCACGGCTTTGACATTGTGATAATTCCTCTTGTAGATTATTAATTTGGGTCGTGCTTTCTTTAGTAACTTGTTCCAATTTGTCCTAAAACGTTTGAATAAGCAAATAACACACGATATTGTTTAGACTAGCAACACATAACAGGTTTATCCTAATTTGGCATACCTTTAAAGTTTCATTTTCCAACTGTAATTTGTTACATCGAACCCTAAAGTCGTGAGCAATTTTCTCTGCTTGCTCCAAAGATGCTTCAAGTTCTTTCTCCAAATCTTGTGACTGTTCTCGAAAATCCTCAAGTTCGCGCTCAAGCTCCTCAGCTCTGTTTTTCCAATAGACTTCAGGATCCTCCGTACTCCTTGGCTGCGACATTTTGACTGAAATAAAATGATCAAAGAGAATTGAATGCCAGGTAAAAAGCAATGTCAAGCACATGGATACATAAAATGTCGAATGTCAATTGAATTCAAAGAAGATCCACGCATCCAGAGACAATAAAGCATAGAACAAAAACCATACTCTGCTATTAGGCCTTGAAATCTCCAGCCAAGACGGCAGCACAAGCACAGAACAAGAAGATCAGGCCACACAACAACTGATACTTGAAACTCATCAGTCACAGAAGTAGAATGGAAGGTATAAACTAAGCAGTCCAACTTCAGATATGAGAAGTGAAATTAAAGAATTATGTGAAAGTTGGGTAATGACAAACGTCATACCAGCAAAGCAGGCTGTTACTGTACTTCTGTCACAACATTGACGCGAGCCACTTGGAACGTACATAAGTAACCGCATAGAGCGAAAACCGCCCTAGTAATGAGGAAAAGCAAAGCTAAAATATTACATTGCAAGAGCGCGAGGCAGAGTAAACTCCCCCAATATTGACTTCGACACGCAAACTTAGCACTAGAAATGCGCAGCAACCAGCATTCATCACCCCGAACAAAGACACTGGTAGGACAGTTACTTCAGAACAAAGAAACTTGACGCTCTCACATAGTCTAACTGGTCGGATACTCCAGTGTTTCAATTGACATTAACGACGAAAAGATATTGCAATATTACGAACCACTACTGACTGAAAGGAATCCAAGATGGCGAACAGTGGAAAAGGAAAGAACTGAAAACACACCAAAAACACGACTGTCATTTGTTGCGTACGATGGGGTGTCCTACCACAACAGCGCTTCTAACGGAGCCCGCTTCTCCTCCGTTTAGATTCCGTTTCGGGATCAGCAGTGAAAGTTAATTGAAGAAAATTTTCACATGGAGTGTTTCATTTTCAAAAAGATCAAGAAATCCTCGGCTAAAAAGTTGATAGTCCAACTTGCGACACTGGTGGTTTAACAATGCGGCCATATATAGTTGGTAGGTCCGAAGGAGTGAGTGATTTTTGTAAACAAAAACAAGTACTTGCCGATTTTCTGCTTCACGGGCTTTGCCAAATTTAATTTTCCCCATTTTAACGATGGCGTTCAATATTAGGGCTTTGGCACGCCCATGTCTGGGACTTATGGAGCTCTCCATGGCTCCACGAACTCAGATCATGAGGTCCTTGGACTTGCCTAAAGATTACGTGAATTTGCGTTTGCGTGCCTCTTTGTCGTCGTCAGCTCGATCGGGCGTACCCGGAATCAATAGCAACGTCAACACGATTGCCTCCGTGTTGGAAAAATGGGAGAGCAAATTCACGGACGAGGGTATTTCGGAGCCCAAGGACTCAATCCGCAACATCGTCCTGCACGTCATGGGCGGACAGTTAGTGGTCATGTTTTTTCAGGTTATTTTTAAGTGCCCCACTTCCCAACTTCCTTTTATGGTCATAGATTTCCCTCTCTTCTGAGATTCAGTCTCTGAAGGGAAGTATTCCATCAATCATGCCAACTTCACTATAGCTTATAAGGGCTGACATTGAACCATTGTTTTGCTCCTTCTGTTGCCTATTGTTTGGGGGTTACATCCTCAACTTTCGTAGCTTTCGTATTGCATACGCATGTTTATTTCATCAATTTATTTTGGACTCATTTATGCTGTTGCAAGAATTTGTAATTACCCACTTCTCTGTTCTCAGGTCGTTTTCTGAACTAGATCGCCATGCTCAAGTTGAAATGACCCAAGAAGAATTACAAGAAACCGATCGGCTCTGTGAATGTAGGCTCGCAAGGTAAATACCCCTTTGCTATCTTTGCTTCGAACATATAAATAATTTTATTTGTGTATTATGGGTGGTATTTTTTTCTTTGCAGAATGCCAGTTCAATACATAATTGGTGAATGGGAATTCCGAGACATGCGGTTGAAAATGATCCCGCCTGTTTTCATCCCCAGGCCTGAGACAGAAGAACTGGTTTCTTTAGGGCTCTCTTGCTTGCCTCATGGTAATGAGTGTGACAATTGCAGTATCAGTGCAGACTGCCATGTCAATGTGTTGGAAGTTGGCTCTGGCTGTGGAGCTGTAAGTCTGGGTTTGATGAAGGGGCACCCCAAAGTAAGGAAAAATAACTTTCTCATAGTCATGCCATTTGTGGGTTTGGTTCGGCTCATTTTGGTTTTCTCTTTCCCAAAGGTTTATTGCACTGCTGTAGATCAAAGTACCACGGCGTGCAAGCTTACCCAAGAAAATGCAATTGCTCATGGATTTGCTAAGCGGGTCAATGTGATTCATGCAAAACTGGCTGAGGATGGAACTTTTAATAGACCACTTGGGCATGACACATTTGATCTTATTATAAGCAATCCACCTTATGTCCCAAGCAAAGACATGCTTGTGCTTCAACCTGAAATCAAACTGTAAGTTTTTGCATCTTTAACATTTTTTTCTTGCACTTAAAAACTTGTGGTCTAATTTTTTTTAATTTTCTCAGCTATGAAGATTTGCGAGCTCTGGATGGAGGTGTGGATGGCTTGCGCTTAATCAAACCATTGATACAAGTAGCTGGAAAGCTCTTGAGGCACAAAGCTAAATTGTTGATGGAAGTGGATCCGTCTCATCCAGAGGCTATTCAGAAATGGATTAGTGAAGAAGCACAGGCTCATCTTTGCCTCAGATATGAGGCTACTCACCAAGATTTCTCTCATAAAGCTCGTTATGTTCAGTTGGTAAAGGTGAAGAAAGCTTAAACTATGTGTTTTACCTGAAATTTCTTTTTGAAAAAAAAAAATTGTTGAATGTTTTTTAAAATAGTCCTGCTGTAAAATAAACAAATAATCTTGGTAACAATTAGAATTCCATGTATGGGATGTAAACGCAAATATCTAAAACTATGTGATTTGATAGACTGCATCATGCCATATACCCCATTATGTACTTTCACATGTAGTTCTCTATCATCTTAAGTGTCTGCTCTTGCATTAGTAATGCTTATTCTGTAGATGTGATCAACTTCTTTGTATGCTTTACCAAAGCTGATGGGTTATATTATGTGATAGTAAGTTTGTGTGTCTATATTCCTGCTGGCTCAGGTTTAAAACCGTGGAATAATTTTAGTATGACAAGATAATTTTGTGATTGACAGTATTTTGTTTGAATCTTAGGTACCTTTCCTCAAGCTTGCTCAAATTTTTGTGTTGGTGGTTGTTGGTAGTTTGCTGTGGCCTTACATGTTTAATTTGAAATCAAAGCTTGTAGAGGTTTTGAGTATTAGCACTGTTCTCCCTTTATCTGATACATCAGATGCATCTTATCATATCTTGTCATTGTGTCTTTGTGATAGTGTCAATAATTTTCCTACACTGTGTGATTTTTTTTTCAGCTTATTTCAACTGATATTTGTAATTTTCCACGAATACAGTTCATGTAATTTGTAAATTGCTGCGAGTTTTATTTTCTAGCCCAGTCCTGTCGAAAGCAGAAGTGTGTCGTTTGAAGAGGGAACGCCCACATGCCAGTTGGGTTGCCTATACTCATACACTGCAACACTGCACCCCGCGCGAACATAGGTACTTGTTGTCCTCCCCTCCCCTCCCGCTATCGCTATCTTGTTTTCCCTCCGACCATCCCATCCCATCTCCCGCACAGCGTAGCTGGCGTAGCATAGCGCAAAGGCAGCGGCAGAAAGCAGCCTCTTGGATGGAAATTGTCAAAATAGACGTCACTCATGTAAGTCGGCGGCGCCCAGCGACGCGACTATCTATTTTCAGCCCTGCTACTGATAAGGCGAGGGGTGAAGTAAGAGCCTTGCCGCCCCGCCTTCGCTGTCGCTCGCGGCTGGCTGGCGCTGGCACGGGGTTTAGGGTTTCATCAGAAAAACAAATCGCCAGACCCGTTTGGCCACATTTCGGCTCGACCCCGAGGAGGTCAAATTTGCACTCAGCCCAGCGAGATATGCAACTAAATTAGTCTCGGCAGGTCGAAGCCCCACGCGGCGAGGGCCTTCCCTCCCCGCCGGCGGCAGGCCAAGCAAGCCAAGCCAGCGATCGCTTTCAGACTTTTAGACGGTCGTTCAGCCACATTATCACGCTTTTCCTCCAACACTCCAAGTCTGCACATGCACAAGAGAGAGAGAGAGGGAGAAAGCTAACAAGATGACTAAAGCGTCAAGGACGCGAACGGAGAGTGTTATGCATGGTTATGCACCCATCGTCCCCCCAAAGTTGCCGGGGTCTCCGAGGGGCGAAACGGGAGAAACACATCCTCCCGCCTCTCAGCTGGATCCCCCTCCCCCCCCCCTCCTTCCTCCCCCTCCCCCGACCAGCAAACAGTTGCGTTGCAGCGGCTGCAGCAGCACAACCACAGCATCAGCATCTGAGCTGAGTGAGACGAGTGAGACACGAGACACTTGAGCAGCATCAGCGTCGCTGGCACTGTCACTCCAAGCTCCAGCTTCATCCCATCCTGCTCTCTGCTGCCTGTCGTGACCGGCGCATTGGTGAGTCAATTTGCGCTATCGTTCCCGAACTGTTTACAGCATTTCCCTCGGTCAATAGCTGCTGGGGTCCCCTGCCATGTGGTCTCGACCTTTAGTTTATCTGTTTTGTTGCCACGGCGCTTGTCCGGGGGTCTGCGGGTCAGGCCGCTGGTGGTGAACCCGTTGGTGCCCAGCCGGCTTTATTTCAGGCCCGTCCTCCCACCAAGACGGTCGCAAGACTCGCCGGCTCCCGGTTCCAAGCGGCTCAGTTTAGGTTAGACACCTGTTGCTGCCTGGCCAAGCCTCTTCCCCACCACGCTGCCACCACTGCCATCCGCAGTTCCTCTAATCCTGTCCTCTTTATTTCTGTCTAGAATTGAACTTACTTCGCGAGTATCATGGCATCCTCAGGAAAGTTGGGTGAGTGTCACTGATGGAGTCGTAACTTGCTGCTGGAAGTGCTTGTGTATGAACAGAATTTGTAATACTATTGTCTCTGCTCACAGCTCTTTTGAGCGTCTCTGACAAGAAGGGCCTGATTGAACTGGCGAAGGAGCTGCATGGTCTGGGACTTACCTTGGTTGCATCCGGAGGCACTGCCACTGCTGTCCGTAATGCTGGTCTTCCCGTCAAGGATGTTTCTGACATCACTGGCGCCCCAGAGATGTTGGGAGGCAGAGTCAAGACCCTGCACCCAGCTGTCCATGCGGGTGAGATTTTGTATTAGTTGGTTGCATCTGTTGCATAACTTTTCACTCCACAACCTTGAGCTCTGGTTTCTTGTTTCAGGTATTCTGTCTCGCCTTACTGACAGTGACAAGGCTGACATGTCGAAGCAGAATTATGACATGATCCGTGTTGTTGTCTGCAACTTGTACCCATTTGTGGACACAGTCTCGAAGCCTGATGTTACTATTGCCGATGCTGTTGAAAACATTGACATTGGTGGGTGAGATTTGGCTTCAATAGAGCTTTGTCCTTTTTCTGTGGTTTGTGTTATTTACACACTCTCTGTCAGGTGGTGTAACGCTTCTGCGAGCTGCTGCCAAGAACCATGATCGTGTCACCATCATCTGCGACCCCAATGACTACAACAAAGTTGTCAATGAAATGAAGAATTCACCTGATAAGGATACCACCAAGGCCACTAGGTAAACTACTATACCCAGCAACACTTGTAAAAGTAACTACTAAGTAGGTTTACTAATAGAATTTTATTTCAGGCAAACACTTGCTTTGAAGGCCTTTACTCATACTTCAGAGTACGATTTGGCAATTACTGATTATTTCCGTAAACAGTACTCTGGCGGAGTTTCTCAAATGACTCTGCGTTACGGAATGAACCCTCACCAGAAACCAGCCCAGCTCTACACGACGCTTGCTGAATTACCTCTGAAAGGTAACCTGTGTTTTTTTTTATTGTGCTAATTTCACATGTGTGGCTTTTATCTTTTTGTGCTTGTGCTACAATGTTTCTTCCTTTCAGTTGTGAATGGCTCACCTGGTTTTATCAACCTTTGTGACGCTCTGAATGGATGGCAGTTGGTGAAGGAGCTGAAGACTGCTCTTGGCCTTCCTGCAGCCACTTCCTTCAAACATGTCAGCCCAGCCGGTGCCGCTGTTGGAACTCCCCTCTCTGCAGAGCAGGTGAAGATTGAAGTTTTCCTGAAAAGTTGCTCTGTTTGACAAGTACCCTGTTTCTGACAGTTTTCTATCTTATTTTTTTAACCAGGCTAAGCTTTGCATGGTTGATGACCTGACTGGTCAACTTACACCTCTTGCGAATGCTTATGCTCGTGCACGAGGTGCTGATAGAATGTCTTCTTTTGGTGACTTCATTGCCCTCTCCGACGTCTGCGATGCTGTTACGGCAAGAATTATTTCCAGGGAAGTTTCTGATGGTATTATTGCTCCCGGATACTCAGCTGAAGCCCTGGAAATCTTGAAGAAGAAGAAGAATGGTGGTTATTGTGTTCTATCCATCGACCCCAACTTTGAGCCTCAACCCATGGAAAGAAGAATTCTCTTTGGTCTGACCATGGAGCAGATGAGGAACAATGTTAAGATTGACGGCAGCCTTTTCAAGAACATTGTCTCCAAGAACAAGGATGTAAGTGCATGAAGTGCAGAGCATTTAGTTTTCATGTCAATGTATTTTTTGTGTTTCATTCTAATCTTATTGTTTTACAGCTCCCAGAGTCAGCTATCAGGGATCTTATTGTTGCCACCATCACTCTGAAGTACACGCAGAGCAACTCTGTCTGCTATGCCCGTGATGGCCAAGTTGTTGGCATTGGTGCTGGCCAGCAGAGCCGCATTCACTGCACTCGTCTTGCCGGCGACAAGGCAGACAACTGGTGGCTGCGTCAGCACCCCACCGTCCTCAAGATGGCCTTCAAGAAGGGAGTCAAGCGTGCAGAGATCTCCAATGCTATTGACAACTTTGTCAATGGATCTGTTGGAAAGGACATGGACCGTGCCTTGTTTGAATCTCAATTTGAGACTGTTCCTGCTGAGCTTACCCCAGCAGAACGCTCTGCTTGGGCGAAGAAGTTAAATGGTGTGGCCCTTGCATCTGATGCATTCTTCCCCTTCCGTGACAACGTGGACAGAGCTCGTCTGGTAAGTTTAGAATTGATAGTTATTTTTCAAGTTCTTACTTGAGCATTTGCTTATGCCATCTTTTCCTATTGCAGAGTGGAGTGTCATACATTGGCAGTCCTGCCGGTTCCAACAACGACGAGGAAGTGACCAAGGCTTGTGACGAACATGGTATTGTCCTCTGCCACACCAACCTGAGACTTTTCCACCACTAATGTAATTTATCTGAATTTTATGGCCCCCATTCTGATGAACTAGTTCTTATTCAATTGTGATACGGATCTGTATTCAAAGTTTTACTCATTCTGTTATGAAATCTGTTATGAAATCATTTTTAAGCATGTGTACCTGATGTTTTGTTGTGCCATTTCATTTTTATACTGCATTATTAAATCACCCTTTTTTATATAAATCTTAGTTTATTTTGACTTGTACAAAAACACCCTTATCCTATTTAGTTTAATTTTTTATTTTTTTTAAAGCTGCATACTAATAAACCTCTTTGGTCCAATTAAACGCCAATTAAGTACAGATGCTATGGCAGGAGATCAATCATACAGTGTGGAGCCAACTGACCAGCCTAGCTTGTCCTTGGGGCTGCCGGTTGCGCAACGCACGCTGCCTCGGCTCGTTACATAAACGAAATGCATGTTTTGAGGAAGCCGGCCATTATCGCCTGTCTTTGCCTTCTCCGGTCCGGGCGCGGTCGGGTCGGCCAGGCTGTGGCGGTCGCTCATGCCTATCGAGCCCTTTTGGCCCTTAGACCCTGCCACCGCTGAACAGTGGGCCAGAAGACCGGTGGAGGCGGCCAAAATTTAAGACGCGTTTTGAGCTCCAGAGTCGCTAGACGGGAGTCGAACCAAACGTGTTATCCCACCAATTGATTGCTCTCCGAACGAGGAATCCGTTGGGGTCACACGTTAGGTTCGAGTCCTGTTTACCGACTCTCGAGCTCTAAACGCGTCCATCGTTTTGGCCGCCTCCATCGGTCTTCTGGCCCACTGTGCGCTGTCGGGGCAGTGACCGCGTGCACCGCGTCGCTGCACTGCTAGTCTCAGTCTCAAAGTAGTCAGTCTATCGGGTTCGCCTCGCCACGGGTGAGTGGGCTTCAAAACTAGCTTGACGAATCGGGAAGAGCAGATCGGGGACGCGCGGCGCGGGGCGCGGGGGAATTCCCACGAGGAGCAGGTGGCGTGTGAGCGGAGCGCGTAGCGCGGACTCGCGGAGCGGTTCGACGGGTGACAGCACAGCGGTCCAGCGAGTTCACCAGCGCACTTAGTGCGAGGAGTAGCGACGGCGCAGCCCCTCTGTGCGGGGGTATCGACGCTACGTGGGGACCGCCGTCTCCGTCTAGAGCAGCTCCAGCTTGCTGACGGGCGGGGGCGTGGCGCGGCTCGACGGGCTGGGTCCGTGAGGTCCGTGGCGCGCCGACGACGTCCTGGGTGCTGCCCTGGGCACGCAGCGGCAGGTCTGCACCGTGCGGATGCGGTACGACCGCGACGAGCCGTCGCGGCACAGCAGCCGGACGCGCTGTCGCTTCCAGCCGCTGTCCGAGCACCGCCAGGGGATGGACCGGGTGCCGGCCTCCTGCAACCAGAACCACCGTCAAGCTGTATCCCTCCAGTGCCTCCAGCACGGCCGCAGCCGCGGTCGCGGGACGGGACCCACCTTGGACCATGCGTCCATGACGCAGCTGACGGCGCACACCACCTCGTTGACGGGCCGCGGCGACACGCACAGCCCGTCCGAGACGTACCGCTTGGAGCGCAGCCGGCAGGACCCCGGGAAGGACTCCTCTGGACAGATTAGAAGAAGTCGCTCAGAATTAGAACAAGTTCGGCGCGGTTCGACATGCTTCCGCCTGCTCGGGTCGGGCCCGCCCCGCCCAGACCCCTTCCCTTCCCCTTCACGGTCTCCGCGGCGCACCGTGCGGCACACGCTGCGACGAGTCGTTTTACGAGCTGTTTCAGCGGCGCGGCGGCAGTCCTGGGCGGTCCAAGCGGAGTCAAAGCGCACGCCCACCCCAACTTTGTCTGCGTGCTGCAGGGCGGGCGGGACGACGCGATATTTTACAAGTCGCGCTTCGCTACTCGTGGATGTCCCGCCTCTTGCCCTTGTTGGACACGCGACGGATTCCGACGGCGTCGTTAGGCCGCGCGCCGCACATGGCCGCTGCAAGCGTTATCGTGACGATGATGTCGGCGCCCTCGGTCGCGCCCTGTTTCTCTGTGAATTACAGCGTCGCCACTAATTTTAGCGGCCACCCTTGGCGAAGCCTTGGCGAAGCCTGGGCATCTTGTTCGGGTGGAATTCGCCACGCCGCCTCGGCCTCGGGGCGTGGCTGGCGTGGCTGGCGGCGCGGGGCAGCGCGGGACTGCAGCCACGCCAGGCTTGGTCATGAGCGCCTCGCAGAAGGTCACTGTCACCGCCCTGCCGCCAAGGGTGGGCACGGCCCGCACGGCCCGCACGGCCCCGCGACCGCGGTCCACCCTTGAGGCCGCGGGCCGCGCTGCGGCAGACCGATTCCAAGAGTCGTTTTCGTCGCTCTGTCTCTCTCGCACTTGTACGGTACGCTACATGAGTGCGAGAGAGACAGAGTGATGAAAACGACTCTCGGAATGAGTCTGCAGTGTCCGTGAGGACGCGGACGACGCATTGTGCGCCGAACCGCCGAACCCTGCGGCCGGCGCGCGGCGCGCCACGCTGCCTGCTGCCGCAGCGAGGCGCAGCGAGGCCATGGGCGAGGTATGGGGTCCCCGGGGCCGTCCTGGCCGTCCCCGCCACTTCACCTTGGTTCGAGTGGAGTCATGAGGCCCGCTGCACTGTTGCTGCTGGACCGCCAGTCCCCCTGCCCCTCCCCTCCCCTTCCCCAATCCGTGTTGCTGCTCCGCAAAGCCCTTACCCGTCCTGTAAAAGGCAGCCGCCGTCGCGGCGAACATGAAGTGCTTCACGCTGCTTCGCTTCGCCGGCTTCGCCTTTGACCCTCGTCTGCAGGCCGGTTCCGAGCTCTGCTCGCCGCTCTGTCCTTCTCGCACCCTTGCGGGACGCCCCATGAGTGCGAGAGAGACAGGGCGACGAAAGCAGAGCTCGGAATGAGTCTGCTGGACGTGGCCAGTGCATGCAGATACCGCGTGGCCGAGCCAGGCCTCGAGCCAGGCCGAGCACGCCGATGACTCACCCTGCGGCCTGCACCCCTCCTCGGCCCACCGGCACTCACCTTCTGGAAAGACTGGCGGCTTGATAAACTGGTTGGGGTCCAGGCTGGCCAGGCGGCCTCCGCCGAGACTCGAACCCAGGCCTGGCGGGGAGCCGGCCGGCGGCGACAGGGGTGGCGCCAGCTTGCCGGAGGTGGACTGGGCGGTAGACAGGCTGGAGCGGAACTTGATGAGCGTCGACAGGCCGGCGGGCAGCCCCGTCAGCCCCGTCAGCCCCTGCGAGGACGGCGACGAACCCTTGGGCACGGAGTCCATGGCGTCCCTCGCGTCCGCGACGGCCAGCGCCAACAGCAGCACCAGCAGCACCGACATGGTGATCGCTAATGTCAACAGGAAGGCGATGGGTGTCATGCGGTGGGTGGGCGTCGGGCCGTCGAGCGCCGTGAAGATAGGCAGCCAGGTCACGCTCCACACTCCCGCGTTGGGTGGCGCTGCCTACCTCCCATTACCATTACCACTAAAGGCCAGACCACACATGATCGTATGCCATTTCGGACCCGACACATGCCCGCCTGCACTGCAAAACGAGACATGGCCGTCCTTACTAGGGCGACACGTTATACCGGCGGAGAAGACTGCCAACCTCCCAGGGGCTCGCCGCCACCCCGGTCAACGCCCGGCCCGACCCGACCCGGCCCCCGCCAGACTATTCCATTACACACTTTATGCGCCTTCCCTTCCGCCGCACGGCGCACGCCGAAGCTGGAGCCAGAGGCAGCCAGAGGCACCTGAAGGCCAGGGCCATCTCGGCTCGCATCCCGGCCTCAGCGCCCGGCCTGACACGACAGGGCGACCCGAGGGACCGAGGAGATGGCGGTAATTGCTATGTGTGCCGATGCAAGGGCGAGGCCTGGGCCTCTGCCGTGTCTTGGCCTCTGCAGCGCAACACAGCGGTTACACGTCACCGACCTCGTCCTCCTGGACCTCGTGCTCCTGGACCTCGTGCTCCTGGACCTCGTCCTCCTGGACCTCGTGCTCCTGGACCTCGTGTTCCTGGGCCTCGCCCTGCGGACTGATTCCCCGCGAGTCGGTTTCGTCGCTCTGTCTCTCTCGCACTCACGAGGCGTCCCGCATAGGTGCGAGAGAGACAGAGCGACGGAACCGACTCTCGGAATCAGTCTGCTGGACCTCGTCCTGGATCTCGTCCTCTTGGGCCTCGTCGTGCAGACCGAACAGCAGGGCGGGACACGGCTCCTGCCTTTTTCGCAGAGGGCTTGTTTTTTTCACGACGGGCCGGGACGGGCCGGGTCCGCTGGAGCCGTGGCTGGAACAGGAGTAGCGTACACGCCGCCCCGCGCCGCCCCACCCTGTTGCCTTCTCCGTCGCCCGCGCAGTCCTAGGGGCCCCCGGCCGGGGGCCCCGCCGCCCCGCCCCGAAGGCGGCATCCTCGTCCCGCAGAGGCCGCAGACTCGCAGACTCTGCAGAGGACCCGGTTTGGTTTCCATTCATTGGGTAGACGCAGACAGACGGCGAGACGGCTCTGCAGACGGCCGGTGCCGGTGACACTGTCTGTCTGCCTCTGCCTGCTATTTCCGTTGCGTCACCCCCTCCCCTCCCCCTTCCCCGGCCCTGCACTTCCCCTCCCTTTGCAGCCTGGAGGACCGCGTACCGCGAACCGCTCTCGCGAAGACGATCGCATTTCAGCACCGCCCCACAAGGTGCACACAATCAGTCTCAAAGTGGCAAGGCCGCCATGGCCGGCAAGGCGCCGCCCCGACTTGCTCTCCTTTGGAAAGTGTCAAGGTTACTCCCTTCCGTTGGCCGATCCGATTCGCGAGAGGACTGCCCCGTAGGTCTGTTCTAGTCTCGCCGCGCCACTGCACTTACCTAGGGGAGCAGGGGCGGCGAGGCTCTAGTGTCCAGGGGTGGTGCACTGCACTGCACACTGCACTGCCCACGGCACTCGAAGCGCAGCCAAGCCCGAAGACTCCAAGTCTGGGCGCGTTGAAGCGACTGGCTGCGCCGGGCTGGGCTGTGGAGTGGCTGGCGTGAAGGCGGGCAGGAGACTAAAGACAAGTGGCTGGTGACGGCGAGGATCGGCACGGCACGGCGGCGCACCCGGGCCGAGGCGGGCAGGCCGGGGCAGGGCCGGGGCAGGGCCAGGACGCCAGGACCAGCCAGGACATGCCGCCGCAGTACGCACCTCGTGGGGGAAGGCGAATCCTCCCCCTTCCACCCATTCCCATTTTTGCATTGTCTTATCTTGTTTGGTTTCTGTTTTCTTTTGGTGGGGGAGAGGCACAACTGATGGGCTAAAACCACTCATTTTTCATTGGAAAGGCCCACAGGTGATCAAGTAACGAAATTGTTGCACTGCTCTATTTATTTGTAAATCACCAGACATGTGACAGATTACAAAGCATGGAAGTACTAAGTTCATACATAGTGTTCAAAAGGTTTGTGGCCACTAATACTGCTGGTTGAAAGCCATCAGAGGCCATTCTAAGAATATCAATGGCACCACAAGCATACTACAAGATCACAAGACTGAAAGAAATTAAGTACATACAATATAGGGACAAGAAAAGTTTTTTCATGAATGTATAATTTCAACATTAAAAGGTGGTAAGATCTTTTCAATGAGATTGAATGATACTGAGTTCCTCAGAACGAGAAACAAACTACATTTTTGGAATATAATGGGCTAAAAGAGTTTTCTAATATACTTCATGAATTACAGTGTTGATAAAATACTAAGAGATAAAATTTTGCATATTATATGCATTAAAGAATGTACCTAGGTTTCTTTATATCATTTTCAGACTACATAAAAAAAAAAGGAACAAATGTAACTTAGAGCAACTTTTTTAAAGTTGATAATGGCAAAAAATAAAAGTCAACTGATATGGCAGCATTTCAAAAGAATACAATACTGCTCTATCAGGAATGTCCCTATGCAGTACAGAATACAGTGTGATGAAACTAAGAAAAATGAAATCTTGTCCTCCTATGTTATGAAAACAGATCCAACTTTTAAATAATGATGAACAGCAAAAAGAGATTCTTCGCACAGTTACAGAATAAGCTCTAGATCTCAGCATCAATGGACTAATAATAAATGCAGTACATGACAATCACGCCACTTGAAACATTCTTCTACCTTCATTGCTTCATTTAGATATTTTTCTAGCATCTAAGGTCAACAATTCTCTTTTTTAATCATCATTGCTACTTGCTGCTTGCTCAAGAATAACTTCAAATGCAAATGGAGAGAAAGTGTAACCAGCTCCACTGTAGAATTTGCTCTGGAACTCCACCCTAAAGTAACAAAGAAGAAATCTTGTACAACAAAATCGAGGGAAAAAGTAAATACAGTTTAAAAAGACAACTCTTACCAATGCAAACGTAGGGTGTGAAGGAATGCAGAAAGTCCCTCCATCAAAACCAAGATGCTCACAGTGAGAACGGCCCAGAATGCGAACATCAGGAAAACAGCAACACCACCAAACCAGCCTTCTCGCTGAAGACCCATGCGCATAACCATGCTCCACAAGACCTCAGAGAGCTCTGAAAGGTAAAATTCAAGAAAAATCATAAATGATGGGAAAGTGATATGACAAAATTAATTGTAACATGATTTCCCACATGCAGAACTTACGAGCATGGGCAAGAGACAGCGCCCACAAACGGAGGTAGGAAGCTGTGTGAGAGACAGATCCCAAAACGTACTCAATAGTATGGATACCAGAATGAATGAAAATTTCCTGGAGGTCCTCCTCATCATGACCTCCAGCTGGTTTGTGGGCTGGTTGCTGGGCAGGAGCGGCGTTCTGAACACCACTCTCCAGATCAGCATGAGCAGCACCTCCATTTTCCTCAACAGCATTCACATGATTGTTCAACTGCAACGGAAACCAATTAAACTGAAAGAAGAGCCAGACAAGGCGGAAAGGGCTTGACATTTAATTAACAGTCAAACACTTACTGGAAGGTGGGCTTTGCGTTGGTTACGCATGATGTACAGAGGTTTGGCCAGCAACATCCAGGGAACACACAACAGAGCTACGACAACCAGGAGCTTTTGAAGTCCTCCCTGTCCTCCATACATGTACGGATCACAATTGCCTGAGGGCTCAGCAGGTTTGAACAGAACCATGTTGATGAAAGTAATAAGGATTGATGGAGCACAGGTTGGTAGCAGCCTTTCATCTGTAATCAAAAGAAAATAATGTGAGATTTCTCGAAATGGGTTTGGATTAGTGACAAGAGATGGAAGATAACATAGTTAAAATACCTGTGGCTGTGGCTTCATAGGACACCCACTTGATGAACATCAAAAGAACCATGTACAAGAACAGGAAGCACAAGAAAATAATTTGGGGAATAAACAGGAGATAAATGTCCAGGCGCTTTCCAAAGTACCTGCAAAGATATTTGATTAATAACAGTAACAGCTATTTTAAGGAGCCAGAACTCTTAATAAACAACATTCACAGCTACATACCGGTAGTTCCAAAGACTCAGAATAACACCAAACAACATCTGGGCGACACCAAGAATGATTGACACTTTCATTTTGAAGGCATTCAGGAAAACAATTTTATTGCTGGCAAACTGTTGAAATATAACATGATATTAATGTTTAAAATTCACTTTAGCAAAAATATATGAGAATATGTAACCATAAACTTTATATACCTGCCAAACAGGATCAACTCCAACTGGGTATGGAGTTGAGGAATATGCATCCTTTGGATCAATTGTTGCATCCTTATTACGCATAAGATAGTTCATATCATACACACTGGACCAGTGAGAACCAAAGACGTTCAAAGACTTGGAGAAGACATCATTGTAAATGATACCAGTGTACATTGAGAACATGCCCATGAGAAGAAGACAGTAACGTCCACCAAAGAAAATGTTCCAGATCTAGAAGAAAAGGGATAACACTGGTTAAATTGTTGTATCATAACAGATACAATTTAAGTGAATCAATGCAAAATGTCTCCACCTCATTGTCTGTTTTCTTAGCTTGTAGTGGCTTTTCTTTGAGGACCATGTAGAGTGCAAACAAAAACATGATAAGTCCATGACCAAGATCCCCAAACATCACAGCAAACAGGAAGGGAAATGTGATGATGGCATATGGAGCTGTAATCAAGAGGAGAAGTATCACATAATATTAGTGTATGAACAAAAAGGATAACACATGAGCTCATGAAACAGAAAAATTGCCAATGATAATTACCAGGATTGACCTCCCTGTAGTTAGCAACACCATAAGCATCAACAAGGGCTTGGAAAGCTTTGGTGAACTTATTTGTGCGGTTGTAGGTTGGAGGTTCTTCAAATGTGTCCATACGATTCAAAATTGGAGGTACAGAGCTGCCACTGCGTTCCTACAAGATCATTCATTTGCATAATTACCTGCTATTACCACAAAATTATTTTAGAGTCTCAATAAAAGTAAAATGAAACCTACAGTTCCACGGCGTAGAGCAAGTTGGATGGACTCCATGTCCAGCACAGGAACCCAACATTCCGCAATCAGGCACTTTTGGGTCACATCCAAATTGAAAAGGTTCAGGGTGTGGTAAATGGCCTTGATTTTGCGCACTTTGATGAACCAACTCTTAATATTCTTTGCCGCTGCCACCAGAACTCTGTGGCGATGATCTTGAGTTTGTCCCAGCACCTACCATTGCAGGAAAATTAATGCCAGTCACTCAACTAACTTGAAACAAATTTTGGGTTCCATGAGAATGACAAAAAATGTTTAAAAAATAGCTAGGCTTACAGTGTTGAGATCCTCAATGCGAGTCATGACGCTCATAGCCATTTCCCGACGGTCTGCAGGGGTCTCCCTGCAAGGATAGAGGGAGGCCCGGAAACCCTCGCAGATTTTCCTCACACGGGTTTTGAGTTGATCTCCTTGGAAGAAGATGATGAATACTGACTTATAGACTTCATCGCCCTGCAACCAGAGGAGAGTTTTAAGACTTGTATTGATAGTTCATTGAAGCATACACATTTCTTTATTTGCAGACAAAACTTACAGTTGCAGGGTCTTCAAGAGGGGTTTCAATTTCTGCTTGTCGAAGGAAGACGTTGCCTCTGCAGGCACGCCACAGCATGCGCTCGAACGCAGGGATCCTCTCACGCAAGATAACTCCAGCAACAAAGCTGTTTACATAGTTTTAAACAGTGAAAACAAGACCAATGCACCAACAGAAACTTTCAGTCAGTTTGCAAGAAACAAATGGCTGAGTTGTCACAGAACAGTTGTCGAGAAAAGTGGTATTCAACAGACTTGATTCATTCCCTTTTCTTTTGTTTTCCCCAGAAGAAGCGAGTCAATGGTATGGTGTGATTAATGACTTTCTTGCTGAGAAACTCTTCAGCAAGAAGTAAAGTTCAGTCTGTGAGGATGTGTTGTAATGAGTTACGTTGACAATGGTGGCCATGGATCAGTTTCCCAACGTTTCAAAGGACAGACAAGAGAAGCAAGAGGGGGTTGAAAATTGATATGTGACAACCACAATATTTCAATTGTCTCAATTACCCAATTCTATCAATGTGCTTAAACACCAGATAGAAATTGAAGTTTTATCTTTATTTCCAGCATATTATCTGGATGGAACTGAGTGAATAAGTATAGGACAAGTAACAAATATTGTGAATTTCACTGTTAAGAAAGAGTTTTAAATGCATCAAAATTACAGACTAAATACAGCATTCAACAAAGGAGGCATGCAAATATACCAAGCAGCCAGCAAAAGTAGCCTTTAGTGTGATTGCAGAAATTGATTTCTTTTTAATATGGGGAAGGGAAAATCATTACTGAGTTTTACAGTTATTGGAGGTAATTACGTACCCAAGCTGGACAGGACCCTGAGCCCGAGCAGTGTCATCACCGCTTATGAGAGCTCGAGTCATCGACTCAGTGGGGCTGGTGCCGCCTTCATGCTAGTAGGGGAGGCAGTCAAGCAACACGGACGCAGAAAACGCCACACGGACAAACAAGAACAAAACAAACGTAACATTGTTAGCTCAAGGGATCAGAAGGTCAGGGATGGAACTTGGACAGCACTAACACACATGAGCATACGAAATTTCAAATTTCGTAGATGCCAATGATTGTCCCATAACAATGGCATCTTAGTTAGATCTTGAATGAACTTTATCAGGAAACAACAGATAGTAGAGACATGGGGGGTCTGATCCGCATAACAAGTCAAGGAATTTGGTAAAGGGCAAGAAAAATCAGTCCAGCATACATTACAGACTTCAAGTCAGGGAAAGGAACACAGAAACAATACGACACAGAAGCAACTTAAACAAAGACAAAAGAAATCTTCAATGCGAAGCAGTAACTTGATGGTGTTGTAGAGGACATCGTAGGGGAATAGTAAGTATTATAATAATAATAACAATAAAATATTGTACAGAAATGAGTGCTTATGTTGTGTACCTAACATTCCACTGGATAATTTCTATTTCTATGAAAAAATGCAACCACAAGGTTCATGTTTAAATCAATAAAATACACTAAGGCCTCCAGGTATTTAAAATAAAATGTTCTTTGGGAAAGAAAATATTTCAAAAGAATGTGCCAATGACAATTCTGAAACAATCTTGAAGAATATTTAGAAGGAAAATGAAGTTTCAGAGTTGGTTTGCTGCGTTGTTGAACAAACATGCATCTACCCAAAACAAAACTGAAAACCAAACATGCTTGCAAATAAAACTGGGAAATAGACAAACTCAAAGACCGCAGGCTGCTAGTACCTTATTCTGAAGAAGCTAGCAGATAGATCACCAAAGGCACTATCAGACTGGAAAAGAAAGACAACAAAATAATACTGTGGGGAATATAGTGTGCTGGAGTGCTACCGACACCAGGGAACATAAATCTACACCAAGCTTGTGCTTTAAATAATAATAACAAAGACATAATAAGAAAGCAACATGAACAGTTTACATATAATAAAGACAAAGAAGGACATAGTAATACAGTGGGCACCAGTAAAACTCAATGGGCCTCTATGATAAGTCTTACATTGAAAGTAAACAGTACTATGTATCAAGTAAAGGGGTAACATGTCTGGTATGGTAAGTAAGAAAGCATAAGAGCAGGATAGGAAATTGGGCATCATTCACATATAGGATAGTCTGAGAGGAGAAGAAAGTACATACAACTAAGGCTATACAATACTGTAGTGGTTAATGCATGCAAAAGTGCAAAGGTAACTTATGTGGCACGTGGAGCTGAAATCTCCAAGTGCACCGTTTAATAAGAAAATGTCTAACAATAAAGCAAGCTGGGCGATTGCTAATGCAGTTTGATTAAGGAGTGAAATGTGTAAACGAAATGAGTTGCTTCACCATGGCCACAGCACCACACAAAGCAGAATTCAAAGTTAGAAACTGCTGCGTAGGCACAACAATAAAAAACACACGACAATTTTTCAGGTTCTTTTGAGTTAAAACCAAAAAGGAGAAGAATTTTTCCGTAAATTAAAAAAAGGGGTTGATTTTTACCTCAGATGAGTGAGAGAAAAAATTAACAATAAGACTCCGTAAAACAACAAGACAATAAAAACCAGAGGTCCTTTGTAAGGGTAATTTAACAAGCAGAGCTCTGAGGTTTTCTAAAAGTTAAACAAACAAACAAAAAAAAATGAATAAAAAATTGTGAGATTTGACCAGCAAACAGGTTTAGCAAATGGTTGAAATTCTAGCAGAGCAACAGACACCTTCTGCCCAGCAACCGTTCTGCACTCAGCCTCAGCACCTTGGTTCTTGCAAATTGGTTAAAGCACAAAGTACATCAAAACCATTATTATTTCTGTTGCTAAAGAAATGATCACTATGAAGCTAAGGGTTAGAAGCATTAACATAAAGCTCCATGAACTTAATATAGGAATCACTGACAAAAAGAAGATAAAATCAAATTTTTGATTATTATTTTGAATGCTTTTTTTTCTTGACCTGCATTAAATCAATAAAATCTTACCTCAAAGGAAAAGAAGATCTACTCAAATTTGTTGGATAAGGTAATGTATCAAAAAATAGAAGAACAAATTCTTCAGTAAATAATGTTGAAATTAAGATACAAAAAAGTTATTTACCCCAATTTGAGAGCTGCCTGGCCACCAGCGCGCATGCCCTCTTCCCCGAGAAGTTGGACCTGCTCTTCCTCGCGGCTAGGGTCTGCCATCTGTGGGTAGGACACGAGCGAGCCCTGAGCAGCCTGTACACAAGGCGCCCGCCCACCCGCCACCACATAGGCCGTCACAACCGCTCATTCACAGTAAGGGGATTCAGGAGGATAAAGTGCAATTTTACAGCATGCTAACTAGAATTCTTAGATAAATTCAACATAGTGTAACAGAAAACTGATAAAGTAATGATAAAAAATCAGCTGAAGAAAAAAAGGCATTAACAAGCAGTGCAACAACAACAACATGTCAGTCAAAGCCACTTGATTCTACAAACTAGAACATAGAACAAGACAAAATCAGCACAGATAGAAAACAAAATTTACGTTTAGAAACTTCTGGTTTAAAGGCAAATAAATCAGAAAAGAAGTTAATCTGATATGACTTGCATCTGACTTTTGAAAGAAAAACAAAACAAAAAAAAAAACAGAGTTTTGACATGAATGAAGCCTTAAGAAAGTAGTATCTAACTTTAAGGAAGATTAAATGATTTACTTTATTTGTATGTCTGAATTTGATGAACCACCAGGCAAACATGGTGAAATCATGCCACCACAAACAAACACTAAACAATTAAGAACACATGCAAAGCCAAGGCAAAAAGAGAAGTCATACCATGCAAAAAGATCCTACCGCAGCACACCATCTTAGGTTTACTAAGAAAAAAACCCAGGACCTCAAAATAAAAATAAAAAAAGAAATAGGTATGATGTGGAGGAAGTACTACTTGCCTACCACACTACAAGTGATCACAAAAGATTAATTCTTAGGCAATATAGTTTAAGACCTTAAACAACTTAGGTCAGTTTCAAAAGCGTGGTACGAATTACGCAAATGTATTAATTCAGTTCACACCGAAATAATTGGGAATGTTAGCTAGGAGGCCACAAAAGCTGATGTTACCAGAGTACATTTCTTGAGGGGACATAAAGAGCAGATATGAGCTTTAAATTGTTTCAGTACCTCAATCAGCAATAAAAGCACAACCTTCAGGTTCGCATAGAACACTTGATTCACCTTTAAGAAGAGCAATAAGTAAAAGGACCAACTACCATCTACATACATAGTAGAAATAGATTAACTCCAATATCAACACATTCGTAAAAGTGACACCTTTGACTTGCGGATCATAACCATACCTTTCTTGTTGAGAAAAAGGTTGAGAAAAACTTGAAAGTTCTTAGCAAGTGTGAACAGTGGTGCTTCCCTTATAAGAAGAGCTAAATTCAACATAGGAAAAAAACAGAATAGGACTACAAAGTATCAAATTTCTACAAAAGAGAAACAATAAGATCAGGTGGAAGATAAATAATAAATTCTAATTAGACAAAAAGGACTGAGAAATTAAAATACCATGAAATACCATGACTTCCCATCTACTTCGAGACCTTCAAAACTTGCTAAAACATATCTATGATTTTTACGTGTTGGTTTAAGAGTCATGCAAACAATTTTTAAGGTTCTACCTTCCTTTGTATTTGCAGTTAAAAATTTCATATACAACTTACTGCTATATCAAAGTCTACAGAAAGTGGGGAAACGAGGAGTGATGATTGGATAAACCTTTGTTACACTCAGAGCGGTGGTGTACTGCCTAGTAGGGCATGCTTTCAGGTCGGGCCTTGCATAACACATTAACCAAGAAAGCAAATGTTTGCCAAAACTTAGATTCCTAATATTGTCTTGAAGACAATACATACATAATTTAATTCATCAATACGCAAAAAATGGCAAACACTTACTATCTTGATACATACAACAATGAGTAGCACATAGCTGAAAACGTAATGCATAAGAACAATGGCAATACAAAACAAAGACAATGACAAAATAAAACAATACTTTGAACACAATTCCCAAACCCTATTAAGTTTCAAAATAATTGACAGAAAATACATGACATTAATGCCCTCAATTCCCAAACCCAAGGTAAGTTTTCATTGAGTCATAATTGGTCTACTTCTTCAACCAATTATTCAGCCCCAAGGCAGAAAATTCCCATCAAATGAATACATTACAAACTCTACACCCATAACCACATTGTTACAATGGTCATTAGCAGAGTTGACTTAATGAATGAAAGATGATAGTAGTACAAGCTTCCTCATAACAAAACAGCACAAGTCTTCCACGACATACGCAAGAACTTTGCAAATTATGCTGCAGTTCAAATGCAAGTCAACACTTAAGCTTAAGTAATTAACATCACAAGAAGACTTAAAACATACACTGTCATACACTCAGCATTCCATAGAACACACAATAAATTATCAACGTACCTCATCAAAGAAGACCTGTGTTTTACGAAGAATGTGTTTCACTTCAGTGAGTTCCAGGAAGTTGCGTTTCAGAGACTCAGCATTCATGTTAACTTCTCGAAGCTCATTTTCCAGCTTCTCAAATGTTGCCTAGGACAAATATATTCAGTGAATAACAAGGAGGCTGGAGCCACAGTTAAAGTAAAGGCATCCTGGCACATTACTAGCCAATTCCTTACCTCCAAATCAATCATTTCCCTGGGCTGAGGGGCCTCGGGGTTCTCACCGGTGTCAGTCATAGGAATGTTGTCCTTCTTAATTTCCTTTTCCAAGTACCGCAACTTACGTTCCATTTCATCACAGCGCCTAACTTCATTGACAAATTTTCGTTGGAAAGCATTAACATCTGGATTTAACTGCAATGAGAAAAGAGAAAATGATGTGATGCCATGTTGGGGATAGAATAAGCTTTTAAGGTGTAAAGTTAAAATGCTGAAAAGGCTGACAAACTCAATTAGTGGGCAGGTACAGAAGTAGAATGCGAGGTTTACTGGACTTATAAAATATTATTTTATTTTTATAGAGGTTTTGTTGCCAGAAAATAGACTTGACAGGAAACCTTGACGTTCGATCTTGTGACTGAACAGTCTGCTAGTGACGTAAGCGCGTCATATGACGAACTTCATGGAGAGGTTAAGACATTTCCAATTGGCGTGGTCAAGAGGAAGGACCGACGACCTCAACATTATCTACTGATAGTGGAGAAAGGTAAGATAAAGTCAACTACTTACGTCTCGAAATTGAACCAGCCCAAGTTCGCCCAGTTCGGACACACAAGCATAGGCAGCTTCACTTTGGAGGAAAAGTTGACATAAGGTCATTTCCTCACTTCGGAAAAGGCTCCCCATCTTGGCAAGATGGATTGCACACTCAACTTCGGGATGATGGTTTCACTGCACTAGAATTTAATCCAAGATAATCCTTGGAGTACTTCGTTGGGTCGATATGACCCACTCCACTTGTGGGCTGAGCTCGAGCAGACGGGGTCATGTGATTTTCAGCCGTTCCCTTCGATAGGTCGAAACTTTTTCGAGAGGATCGAGTATTTCCAAAGCTGACAACCTGGTAAACGTAAAGTTGGAGTTTGTCAAAGATAACTCTTTACTGACACAAAGAGTAAATACATGCATGAGTTCATTTTTAAAGTACTTTTCAGAGGTTAATGGACGTAAATAATGAAGGACTTGATCTGCGCATTTGCCAATTTTTGGTTTCGAAGTGTGGTGCTCCCGTGAAGCGGGAAAATCAATTTCGTTGCCGCCACTGCCCATTTATGTCTATTTCTTGCATATCTGGTCAACATTCAAGGTCGTGATTGGTCAATTACACATATTTATTCCTTCTGCGTACATAATTGATTCTGTCAAGTTGTTTTGTTCTTCTGGAAAATTAAGTTTTGACACGCATTGTAATTAAACTTTTTGTTGCAAGAGTTCGCGCCACGCGCTGCACTACTATGCGTAGCTTCCTGCTCCGCGATGCGCGATGTTTTCCCCACGGTCGGCGATGCCCCCGGAGCCGCGCCACGCCTCCATGCTCACCGCGGCAATGAATACCCGTCTGTGCCTTTGTCTATCCTTGTCTATCTGCCCCTCGAAGAAAGGGCGGCCGGTCTTTTGATGCACTTTGAACCCGGACAATAGCTTCATCCGCGTAAGAGAGGCAGGCCACTGGAGCGGCTGCTGTTGAAAGAGGGGGTGGTGGCCGCAGCCCTGGCCCAGCCTGGCCTGGCCGCGGCAGTGGATGGCTCGAGGGCAGCATAGCCTCCATTGTCAGCTGCTGCTGCGGGTTCATTTCGGACTTGCTTATCGCCAGAAGACAATCCTGCAGCCAATTTGAGCCCGGCGCTGCTGGGGTGTTGGTAAACACAGAGCCGTCCCTCGACCGCCACACGGGCTGCGTTCGTTACCGCGCGAGGGTGGATCGAGTCGAGCGAGTCAAGTCGCGGCGGAGCCGTGAAAAATAATGCATAATGCAGTGAAAACACGAATAACGAGGTGAATATGCCACCGGCGCCTCGGCTGAATCAACACCTACAACGAGGAAAGGCCGAATATTCGGTACGTAGTTTTCGTCAACGGTGTTTTCGTAGCAGAGCAAACCCCCTATGTTTGTTTGCGTCGCCTGTCGCCACTTTCCGTGCAGTCTAAGATACAAGTACAAGGCTACAAGGTCGTCGCTGCGTGTTTTGTCACTCTTTCACCCTCCAAAGGGCACATTTCCCTTTATTTGTCGTACTGCGTCTGGTGGCCACCGAGGCGGCGGCGCAGCTCGGCCCAACCGGGCCCAACCAGGAACCACGGCTTCGGGGTGAGCCAGGCAAGCCAGGCAAGCCGCCCGCAGGCAGCAGGCAGGGAGGCCTCGGCACCCCTCCATTATACGGCCTGGCGGCCAGGCGGCCTGGCCCTCCCTTGGCGACAGTTCCCCCGTACCCCCGTACCCCATCCGTAACGACGCCGTCGACTCCCCCACACCTTCCCTTACCACGGCCACGCTCTTCCCTCTAGCACCCCGATGGCACTTTGTCACCCCCTCCCCAGCCCCCTCCCCAGCCCCCTCCCCAGCCCCCGCCCGCTCCGTCCCTACGCCGCCGGTGGCGCGGCGTGGCCCGGGCGGCGTGGCGTGCTGCTTTTGCTCCCCGACCTTGGCAGCCGTCGACCTTGCTTGCGGGGCGCGGGGCAGCGCGGGGCAGCGCGGGGCTTGCGGGTGGCCTGGCCCCTTCCCAACCCGGGAGTCAGGAGCCAGGGCCTAGCGCGCAGCAGCTCGGGAACGGACACGCGCGGCTTGGAGGCGAGAAGCGAGAAGCGCGCTGGGCTGGCAGGCCGCAGCATTCGCCACGACGCGCCACGCCAGCCACGCCAGCCACGCCAGCCACGCCACGCCGCGGCGGGTAGGGCGGTACGGCGGTACGGCAGCCAGCTGTCCCCATCCAGAGGTACTCCGCCACCCCTCCCCATCCTCATTGCCCTGGCCCTGTTTTCCTCCCTCTCCCACCGGATGCCAAGTCGATACGCTCCCTCACCTTTCCCTTTCTCTCCCCCTCGGATGTTGTCAAGGGGTGGGGGTAGGTGGGGGCGACATAGACATGCTGCGGCTCAGCCGGCTCCAAGGGGGGGAGGAGGCGTCGCTGGGGGGGTCGTCGTGGGGGCTGGCGGCAGGGCAGGGGGTTGGTGCCGCGCTGGCTGCCAGCCTGCCTGCCAGCCTGCCAGCCTGCCTGCCCGCCTGGCCCTGCGCTACGCTCCGCTCCGGTCGGGCCAGGCTGCCAGGCTGTCGACCAGTGAGTGTCTGGTCCGGGGCTCGTGCGGACACAGAGCGCCACAGGGCCCTGCCCCACCGCCAAGCCAGCCCAAGCCGCCACCGGCCCCTGCCAGAGGGAGCCCCGTTCCCCGTTGCCGTCCGGCGCGACCCGGTCCGACCCGGCCCGACAGGCCCGGCCCCCGCGAGGCGAGCGCTGCACCGCGCCCAGCTCCGCTCGCTCCGCGCTTGCTCCGCTCCGCGACCAGCCTGCGCGACGCCCTTCCCGCGCCCTCGCGCCCCCCGGGCCTCCCTCCGGGCCTCCCTCCGGGCCCCTCGCGTCGTCGCCAGCTGTACGGTTTGTCGCAGGATGTGGCGGCAGCGTGCCAGGGTGAGTAGCCGGAGCACAACAAGGATAACGACGGCGTCGTCAGAGGCGGGCTTGTCGGCGGCGTCCTTGTTGGCGGCGGGCTTGTCGGTGTCCTTGGCGGTGGGACTGTTGGCGGCGTCCTTCTCGGCGGTGGGCCTGTCGACGTCCTTGGCGACGGGCTGATCGGTTGCGCCCTTGTTGGCGGCGGGCTTGTCGGCGTCCTTGGCGGTGGGATTGTTGGCGGCATCCCCTCCTGAGGTGCCGCGTGCCTCCGCCGTGCCTGGCCGTGCGCACGCTGCCGCCCAGTCGCATCCAGCCTGTCTCTGGCCCTACGTTGGCCCGCCGGTGACGGGGAGGGGCTTAGTCGCTCTAGGAGGACTGCGTGGCGCGGCGCCGCGGTGTTTGTGTCGTGCCAAGTCAAACGCCCCGCGGCGCGACAGTCAAACAGCAGACTGGAAGAAGCGTAGACCGTTTTTTCTCGATGGGCGAACGGAACGCCGTTTCCCGTTCGCAGTGGATGCGCTCCGCGATGCGCTCTTAGTCCGGCCGACGATAGTTCGTGCAAATGCTGGAACGCGTACCCGCGTACCCGCGCGTATCGACTAATTGCTTTATTTTTAATTCGCTGTTCGATTGCGGCGGGACGCGGCTCTTGAATCAACTGTAGCCATGCACGCTAGCTGTCATGTCGCGTGGCCCGAGGTGGGGGGGGGGCTTCTACTCCTAGTCGGTCCCTTGCGGCTTGTTCCGAACTGGCCGGGCCGTCGGCCCGGACGGATTTCGGTGGGGCACTGGGAAAGGAAGGGCTGGCGGGACAGGACGACAGGACTTGGACTGAGGAGCGCCGGGAGGATAGGCAAGCTCGTCGCTCGGCCCGGACCATTACCATTACCATTAAGGGCATCGCGGACCAGCGGGGAGCCGAGCGCGCCCATTGCTGCCTGGGCCTCAGGCCGTCCAGAGTCCAGGCCGGGTCTGCGCCGCTGCGGTTGTACTAGCTGCCAATGCCCCCCTCCCTCTCCGCCACCCTCCCCCTTTCACTTCCCTCTCGCCCGCTCTCTCTCCTCTCCCACTCGCTAGCTTTTACCCCTTTCTAGATGGTGTTTCGGCGATCGGAAAGTACTATCTCGGAATGCCACTCGCCGGAACGGGGGCAAAATAAAACGGCCACGGTTTGATGACGAAACTTTTGGCGCGGCCAGAAAGTTTGCCGGGTTTGTTGTCCACGGCGGCCTGGCCTAGCCTGGCCCGGCCCGAGGCGACGGCCTACATTTACAACACAAACACACTAGGCTCCCCTCCCCTTGCCCCTGGCCTGGCGTAGCCTGGCGGTCCCGCGGCGAGGCTAACGCAGCTAACGCGACGAGACTCCAAGTCCCCCGCGTCGCGTTTCACCCCGCCAACTCGGTGAAAATCCCCGGCCGTGAACAAAAGGGGTTCGGGGTTCGGGTCGGTATTCGGGTCGCCATTCGGGTCCCTTCGGCCCCTTCATCTGCACTTGAACTCGGCCAGTCCACCGCGTCCTTCCGGTGTGCCCCGCCCCGCCCCGCCATGGCCGGTGCGCCGCCTCCGGCATGCCCCCGACTTCACCGCTTCCGGGGTTGCTCCCCGACCGGGGGCGGCCCGGGGGTGGGCCGGGGGTGGCCGCTCTGAAACGGCGAGCAGTGAATTCTGTTCTCAAGTACTTGGCTCGCGAAAAAAATATAATAAATGCGGCGGCTTTTTTTCGTTACGGCGGCGCGGTTCGGGTCAGGGATCGCAGTCAACAGGCGAGTGGAGGAGGGCGCGCTGCTTCGCCGCTTCGCTGCTTGCTGCTCGGCCTTGTCGGGCTGGCGGCGCGGCTAGGCTGCTTTGTGTTCGGCTGACTTCTTGCCGATCCGGTCATGATGCTTATCGCAACCCCCGACCCCGACCCCACGCCCCAGAGTGCAGCCCGCAGAGCCGGCCGCCGGCCGCCGAGAGGCGCGCGCCGCCGCCGTCGTCTTCGCCGTCGTATCGACGTACGTCGGCGGCCACTCGGTGACATCCGAGTGTGTGGCCGGCCGGCTGGGGCCACGTCGCCACACCGGCGTGCCGCTATCATCGGCATTCGGTATCGATTCACGGAGTGAACCGGACGGGCGGGACGAGTCGTGCCCTTAGCCCTCGGCGGGGCCCATCGGCCCTTCGCCACGCCCGGCGACCCTTTGCGGCCCTAGCCGGCCCTAGCCGGCCCTAGCCACACCGCGGCTGGCGGCGGCTAGCCACGCCGGTAGGCAAGCCAAAGGGACAAAGGGCAGCGGCACGACCCTGCCCTGCCCTGCCCTGCCCTGCCCTGCCCTGCCCTGCCCTGCCCTGGCCCGCCGTGCCCCGCCCTGCCCTGCCCTGCCCTGCCCTGCCCTGCCCTGCCCTGCCCTGGCCCGCCGTGCCCCTGCCCTGCCCTGCCCTGCCCTGCCCTGCCCTGCCCTGCCCTGCCCTGCCCTGCCCTGCCCTGCCCTGCCCTGCCTTGCCGTGCTGTGCTGTGCCCTGCCCTGCCCTGCCCTGCCCTGCCCTGCGCTGGCCTTCCACGGGTTCCACGGCCACGTGAAGCAGCTCGTCACTGTGGCACGTGCGGCGCGACGCGGGGGCGCCAGTCGCTTGTTTGGGCCGGGCCGGGACGGGCGGCCGACGAGTCGAGGGGGCGGGGAAAGGGGTGCCGGCGAGGGGGCGGCCTTTCTCTCACGGAGAGGTCAGCAACGCTTCGTTAAATCGGGAAACAACCGGCCGGCGCACTGGCGCGGCGACGTGGCCCGGAACGGAAGCAGTCGATTCGACCCACGAAGAAACTCCGTGCCCGCCACGCTTTCTACGCTGCAGGCTGAACCGAGCTCCCCAGTGGGTGCATCTTCTGCCTTTACCCGATACCTGTAGACTGATTCCGAGAGTCGTTTTCGTCGCTCTGTCTCCCTCGCACCTATACCGGGGGCTCCATGAGGCAGAGAGTCGTTTTCGTCGGCTCGGCTGCTGCCCATGCCGTGGCGCGCCGCCGTAGTGCAACCCTCTCGATTGCCGGGCCGGACCGCCGGGCCGCGGCCGCACGATCGAGTCTCCGACCCCTTCTTTCAATCTTTGAACAGTTTCCGCAGTGTACCTACCCCGCGTGGCGCAGCACGAGCCGTCTGGAAACAGTGGTTGCCCGCGCCACCACACCGCCAAACGGCCAGCCGGGCCCGGCCGGGCCGCCTTCCCCTTATCGGGTTCGGGCCTTCGGGGGCGGGGCGGCCGGGGGCGGGGCGGCCGGGGCGGCGGAACCGTATTTCGCCGTCTTTATCAGAACGTACACGATTAGCGTCACAACTGTCGCCGGAGTGGTTGCCCCGGCGCAGGTACGGCCCCGGCAGGCCGTCGGGCCGTCAGGCACCCCGGGGCGAGGGGGCCGCCCCCGGGGCCGCCTCAGCATGACTCCCCGGCCCGATCTTAGATCCCGTCGTGAACCTGTTGCTAAGGCACATGCCCCCCGCCCCCACCCCCACAGAAACAAAGGAGGGGGCCGCGGTGGCGGGGGCGGACGGCGGACACGGCACACGGAATAAATCCCCGCCGAGCTCTCCGAGAAGGTCGCGGTGGCGGCGGAGGCGGTCGAGGTGGCGGTCGAGGGCGGCACCGTGGCGGCGATCCAATCGCATGCCGACGTGCCGACGCCGTGTTTCAATTAGCGGTACCACGCCTTATTTGACACGTAAGGTGCCGTACGACGCCGCCGCACGCGAGTGTGTGTGTGTGCGCGCGCGCGCGCGTGTGTATGTGTGTTTACGCTTGCTGTATACACGCTCGTTTACACGCACGCGAGATCTCCATCGCTGCGCATTATTTTCCAGGCCTTTACCCGCACCCCACCGTCGCCACCCGCGCCAGCGGCGCCGCACCGCCACGCCCTGGTCGTGTCGTGAATGTGCCACGGTCCTCGCAGTGCAGCGGCGCGAGTGATTTGGAAAAGAGGTTTGTCACTCTGTCTCCTCGCACCCCAATGGAGATCAGCGCCATGAGTGCGACGAGGACAGAGAGACGAGGCGACCCTTGTGAATCGCTCGGCTGCGGATTTCGCCGGGGCACTGTATGGCGAAGAATGGCGACATGCTCCCTGTCCCAGCCTCCACCGCCACGGCGCCCCACTGTACTTGCTGGCTGGGGCTCATTGTGTGCGCTGAGTGCATAGCACAACTCGACGCGGCGCGGCATGGCGTGGCGGGGCAGGGCAGGCCTCACCACAGCGCTGCCTTGAGACCCCACCGTGCCGCGCCCCGCTTCTGCTGCAGCAGACTGGTTCCGAGAGTCGCCTTCGTCGCTCTGTCTCTCTCGCACTCTCGGGCGGCGTCCCCTGTAGGTGCGAGAGAGACAGAGCGACGAAAGCGGCCCTCGGAATGAGGCTGCAGGCCGCTGCAGGCTGCGCGGCCGAGCATCACGGCCAGTGGGCTGGTGGGCTGCACTGGGTGGCACTGCTTGCAGTGTCGTGTCTCGTCGAGTGGTTCTACTTTTAAGTCTCGAGAGCGGCACAACTAGCTATGACCCCTTTCTCTGCTTGCACACTGCTTCGCCTTGTTTGCAAGGAGGCCTGTCTGTCTGTCCGTCCGTCTGTCTCTGTCCGTTCGCCCTGGTCCCTAAGCCGTCTGCACGCGCCTAGCCTCGCCCCGAGCCTCGCCCAGCCCCCCGCAGGCCGTCTTCTTGGACGTGACTAATCGTGGCCGCCCCCCGCTGAGAGCCGCGGCCGGCCGCCCCGTCGGGCTGGGTCCAACTCGGTCGGACTGCTATGCTTTTAAGCCATATCCCGTTTCCTGCCAGGTGCGCCTCGGCCACGGCCCCGACCCCGGCAACGCGGGCCACCGGCCACCCCGGCCTGCCACCCCGGCCTGCCACCCCGGCCGGCCATGACAGCAAACATTAATCAAACGGACAAACAAACAAGGCGGCGATCGAGTGTAACTTTTGTGATTGGGAGCAGGGCCGCGGCAGGGCGATTCCGTGCAGTGTGTCGTCGCTCTGTCTGCCTGTCTCGCTCTCCTGCTGCCGCTGCCGCGAGGGAGTGAGGGAGACGGGCCACGGTTCGGGATGAGGCCGATGATGATTGTTCTCGACGCCGCGCGCACCGAGTTCGGTTCACTGCATCCTCCCGCGCACCACCTCGCTTCGCACCGCCCGCTGCCTGCAGACTGAAAGTTCCGAGAGTCCTTTACATCGTTCTGTCTCTCTCGCACCTGTACGTAACGCCCCATGAGTGCGACAGAGACGGAGCGACGAAAACGGCTCTCGAAATCAGCCCGCCTGACGGCGGTTGGCCTACACTATTTCGGGCGCCTCTTTGCTCTTTATGCCGTGCCGCGGCGCGCTGTTTGTTCTGCGTGGGGCGATGACGCCATTTCGAACGGAAGGGGGGGGGGAGGGGGCACTGGTAGCACCGGCAGCAGAGCGGCAGAGATTAGTGCGGGGGCGGTGATACGGCACTCGCTGATGGGGTGGTTGACCTTCACGGTAGGGTACCCGCCTCCACCGCCCTCGCCGCCCTCGCCGCGGCAAACCGTCGCCCGCCCAGGGACAACGGCGTTGCCGCCCCCGCAAACAGAGTACCTGCAGCCTGATTCCGAGAGCCGCTTTCTCCGCTCTGTCTCTCTCGCACTAATGGGGCGTCCCATTTAGGTGCGAGAGAGACAGAGCGACGAAAACGACCCCGGAGATAAGTGCGATGGATTGTCGCGAAAATCTCTGAGAAAACTTTGGCTGTGCCAGGGCGAGAGCGCCAGGTGGATTGGTAGTCCGGAGACGACGACCCCTCCAGCGAGGACCTCCGACCGAGAGGCTGGCCGGGAAGCGGACTCGTCCCAGTCGCACAGGGGACCGGGCCGACCGGGCGGTGATGGCACTGTACGAAGTTCCCAAGTCGATTTCGAATCAATAGGAAACTGGCCGGCGCTGCCGTGGCCGCGCGCGAGCCGGCCGTCGTTCCGTGACCGTCACGGGGCCGTTGCGCGGTCGTCACGACGCCGTAACGGGGGCGTTGCGGGGCGTTGCGGGGCGTTGCGGGGCGTTGCGGGGCGTTGCGGGGCGTTGCGGGGCGTTGCGGGGCGTTACGGCGCGAGGGTCCGGAACGGCCTGCAGGCTGCAGCAGGTGGTGCCCATTGTGTTGATGGACGCGCGGGGCGGCCGGGGGCGGCGCACGGCGATAGAGGGGCGATAGGCCCCCTCCACCGCCCCCAACCCCTAGCCGCCCCTGAAGACTGATTCCGAGAGTCGTTTTCGCCGCTCGTTTTCTCTCTCGCACCTTTACGGCACGCCCCGTGAGTGCGGGAGAGACAGAGTGACGAAAACTACTCTCAGAATGAGTCTGCTGGCCGGGCGGGGCCTGGCCGGCCTGGCCTGCTTCCCCCGGCCCGGCAGTGCGCCGTGCCAAATTGATGTCCGCCTGCGCCCCAGCGCTGCCCCGGGGCCCCGAGCAGCCCGCGCAGTCCCGGGCCGGCGCGGTGCGCGCGTTCAGATGGCTCAGATTTCTCTCTCAGTAAACTATCCGCACCGGGCAGCCACGCCGCGGCGCGGCATGGTCGATTTCGGCCCGGCCCGGCCCGGCCCGGCCTTGCCCGGCTCAGCGCCACCATCCGTCTCTGTAATCGGTGGGGCCGGTGGGACACTGGAAGGGGGAACCTTATTCCGGGTTCGGGGCGGAGACAAGTAGGCGAGGGGCCGCGAGGGGCCGCGGGGTGCTCGGGGTACAAAAAGGGGCTGCGCGCTAAGAGTTTTCCTGTTGATGGAGAGGATCAAGCCGGCTTCGGCTTCCGCGAGAGGGCCCGCCCAGATCACCTCGGCCCGTGACCTCCCCGCCGGCTGAGCGTCTAAGCCACTGATCGCCGAGCTGGAAGACACGCCGAAGAAAGGACGCATCGCAGGCTCACCGGGACTTGAACCACGTTTCTTTGCTTCTTGTTGCAGGCGGCGCGGCTGTAGACATGATGGCGCCAGTCCTGCTGGCGGCAGCCTGTGGCTTGCTGCTCGTGCCTGGCGTGCTGGTCCACGCCAAGCCCCTGTCGCCCAACCACCACCGCAATGGCGGCCTCGGTGGCGGCGCCGGCGGCGGCTCCGGTGGCGGCGGCCCCAACGGCAACGGGGCGCACGCCGACCCCCTGGTCGTGGAGACGCAGTCCGGGTCGGTGCGGGGCTTCTCCAAGAACGTACTGAACAGGGACGTGCACGTATTCTACGGCATCCCGTTCGCCAAGCCCCCCGTCGGCCCGCTCCGCTTCAAGAGGCCCGTGCCCATGGAGCCCTGGCAGGGTGTGCTGCCCGCCAACACCCTGCCCAACAGCTGCTTCCAGGAGCGCTACGAGTACTTCCCGGGCTTCGAGGGCGAGGAGATGTGGAACCCCAACACCAACGTGTCCGAGGACTGCCTCTACCTCAACATCTGGGTCCCCCAGCGCGTGCGGCTGCGGCACCACGGTGAGTCCTTCGTCACTCTTCGACACCGTGTTCGTGGGTTCAAATCTCGCGCCCGACATTTTGACCTCCCTTTTCCCTCCACTATCGTACACTGAAGGCAAGGACGACCAATAATCCTCGCGCTTCTGCAAATAATCAGACTGTCGCGGCTCGCCCGCGAGGTCCTTGAGGTCCTTGATAAATCGGCGCCACTCGCCGCGTGCCACCACAGTGTAGTACAGTGTAGTGACTACGCCCGCCCGCCCGTTTACCGGTGCTGTAGCCGGCGTGGCGCGGGCCGCACCGTTCGTTTGCAAAGGTTAGAATTCGAAACGTGGCAGCAAAATTAATTTTGTAGCCGACGCGCTGGAAAAGTAGGACGCCGGGATGCTCAGGAGCAGAGGGACAGCACCACCGTGGCAGGCGTGGCAGGCGTGGCGTGGCAGGGCGTCCTTCCCTGTGTCGCGGCCGCTAAATGTCAAGGGTTAAGGCGCCTCGAGCCTCGAGCCTCGGGGGGCGAGGGTGTGAGGGCGCGGCGAGCGGGGGGTGGGGGTGTGAAGGCGCGCGGGGGGCGCGCGGGGCGGGGGCTGTTCCCTCCGTCCACTCCAGGCAGGCGTGCGTAAATCGAATTAGGCCGCTGTGCGGGCCTTCCCTCGCTGCCAAGCCGTGCCTGCAGGCACCCTTCTCGCTGTTGTGCGACCTGTGCCCTTACGGTGTGCCCGGGGCAGGGCGGGGCAGGGCGGGGCAGGGCGGGGCAACTAGCCCGGTGGCATCCGCCGCATCCGGCGCCGAATGTTTAATTTACGGCCAATGCAAGAAGAAGAAGATCACTACCAGTGCTGGTGACGACGGAGACGGAGTAGAGCCACAGTAGTCACTGCACCCACAGCACAGCCAGAAACTACTTTTCAGCTTTTTTCGGTTGTCGCGGTAAAATGAATAGGTCTGTCGCGGATTTGAACCCCGACTTTTTGCCGTGGAACTGGGTGCCGCAGCCGACTCGGCCACGCGTGACCGCGTGGGCCATCTGTGGGCGGACTGGCGGATTGCTCGCGGAGTGACGTCGGCCGCGTGGGTGACGCGGGGTGCGTTGCGCAGGCACTGTGCGTAGTCTCGGCCGCGGCGGGGGAGGGGAAGGGGGGGGGGGTTAGAGGGGGAGGGGGGGGGGAGGCGGAGGCCGGGTGTCGCCGTTACGCGCTGCAACGTGACTCCGCAAAACGCGCCCACATTACCTTTGCCTTTCTTTTATGGCCCCACGCTTTTATTATTTTCGTGCGGGCCGAGCGGAGCCGAGGCACGCTGAGCCAGAAGACCGGCGGATGCGGTCAAAATAGACGCATTTTGAGCTGCAGAGTCGCTAAATGGGACTCGAACCGATAACGTGGGACCCCACCAATCAATTGCTCTCCGAACGAGGAATCCATTGGTTCGGTTCGCGAGTCCTGTCAAGCGACTCTGGAGCCCAAAACGCGTCCTGGCGGCCCACTGTAGGGCGGCGTTTCTAAGCAGCTCGCCGTCGTCCTGGCCGCCAAGCCGCGGGCACGCCGCTGTTTGGGGGAACGTGGAGACTGGCTGGCGGAAGGACGTGGAACAGGCTGAACCGGCGACGCCGTTACGACCCTCTGACAGTGTGCCGACACACGCACAGGTTTGCAGACACACACGGCGAGCGGCGAATTAGCATTTGCATAAGCAAAGCGCGAGTAAATAGCCATCGGTGCGGCTGTTGGGTTTGTTGGGCCGCGCGCCGCGCCTCCAACCCCAACTTTGTTGCAAAGTATGTGTAAATGAAGTTGTTAAGTTGGTGCGGCGGGGGCGGTGGGGTGGGGCGTAAGCCGTGCTGCGAGGGGTTGGGTCGGGCCATGGCCCTGCAGGGATTCGGCCCGGGAAACAATAACCGAGACGTGAGCGCCGGGAAGGGCCGGGAAGAGGAAGGAGCAGGTCTTCGCGGAGGGCGTGACGTGGCGGTGGTCGGGAGCCTCCCGCCAAACAATGATCCACCGCCGGGCGGGGCGGGGCGGGGCGCGGAGGGGAGGGGAGGGGCGGGGTATAAATGGATATCGACCCTCTCATTTCGGCGGCCCGACGCCGGTTCCGCTTCTTTTCCCCTTCGCACGTCGAGGACTGCTTGACGGCGTGCAGGCGCGCCCGCTCCCGCGCGCCGCACCGTGCAGCCTCTAGACGGCGGCTCAGGGAGACGCTGGCCGCTGCCGTGACGATCCCCATGCCCCCAGGCCCCCAGTGGCCGAGCGAGAGATTCAATATCAGTAGCCTGGCGACGACGGCGAGCGCCTGCGTGGTCCAGGGTAGACCGCCCGTGCGCACCCTGGTGGAGCGGGTGGCCTACCCCGCGCTCCGCAGGCGCCTTGCTGCAGCACCCGGAGCTGGCGGGGAGGACTCGGAGCGCCTGCGTGGACTCGGATAGGCCGCCCGCCCAACAAGGGTGTGCACGGGTGGCCTACCGCGCGCTCCGCAGGCGCCTTGCTGCAGCACCCGGAGCTGGCGGGGAGGACTCGGAGCGCCTGCGTGGACTCGGATAGGCCGCCCGCCCAACAAGGGTGTGCACGGGTGGCCTACCGCGCGCTCCGCAGGCGCCTTGCTGCAGCACCCGGAGCTGGCGGGGAGGACTCGGAGCGCCTGCGTGGACTCGGATAGGCCGCCCGCCCAACAAGGGTGTGCACGGGTGGCCTACCGCGCGCTCCGCAGGCGCCTTGCTGCAGCACCCGGAGCTGGCGGGGAGGACTCGGAGCGCCTGCGTGGACTCGGATAGGCCGCCCGCCCAACAAGGGTGTGCACGGGTGGCCTACCGCGCGCTCCGCAGGCGCCCTCCGGAGCCGACGGCGACGGCGAGGACCTCGGAGCGCCAGCGTGGCCGTCCGGTGGCGTGGAGCAGGCCATCCGGGTCGTGTCTCGTGTGATTGGTCTTTAATTTTTGAACGCCTTGTCCACCTCATTCCCATCTGCCTGGCGGTAGCGCGCGCACCGCGCCGCCGCGACCACCCCCTTCCCTCCCGCCCCCACCAAGTGCACTACCCGCCCGGCCTGCCGCCCCGCCGCCCCGCCGCTCTGCCCCTCTCTCCTTAGATAGACCGCCTCAAACATTGAGCACCCGGCCAATTCCGGGGCGCGGCGCAGACGGACGTGTGTGCGCGCGTGCATGAGAAAGCCAGTTGGACAAACTGTGTGCACGCCGCGCCGCGCCGCTCCGCTCTGCCGCTGTATGTGTCAGTGAGCCGCCGTGTTTCCAGTGTTGGGCCGTTGCGCGGCAAACTGATGAAGGACGATTCGGATGGAGTTCCCGTGTCAGTGTCAGTTTCAAGTCGAGTCTGCCGCGCCGGGCGGGGGGTGCGGGGGCCCCGCGGAGCAGAGGGGAGGGGGCACAGCCACGCGCCGAGCACAGCGGCGGCAGGGTCATGCTGCAGACTGATTCCGAGAGTCGCTTTCGTCGCTCTGTCTCTCTCGCACTCATGGGTCGTCCGGTATAGGTGCGAGAGAGACAGAGCGACGAAAGCGACTCTCGGACTCAGTCTGCTGGCGGCGCGCGGCGCCAGGGCATTAATAGTCGTGCTCGGCAAAAACGACGAGCGAGCACACTGGAAGAGAGTGTAGGGCACGGGGCACGGCACGGGGCGAGGCACGTGCGCTGGCCCGGGGCGCCAGGCGGCGCCAGGGAATGACCGTAAAACGCGCCTCCAGGTTCGGCTTGGGCGGGGGAAACACTTTTGGTGGGACTTGTGATGCGGGCTGTTACGTAGAACGTGGACGGCTGTTGATGTGCAGCGGGGTAAAGGGTTGGGAGGGGCAAGGCCGGCTGCGCTTGGAGCGCGGTGGGGCGGGGCGGGGCGGGGCGGGGCGGGGCGGGGCGGGGCGGGGCGGGGCGGGGCGGGGCGTCGTTGAGACGGACTGCAAGGGCTTTGCTGCGTGCGAGAGGCCGTCCCGCCGCCATCGCCGCACACTTCATGATTGTCGGTCTTTTGCCTCTTTCTTTCTTTCTTTCTCTCCCTCTCTCACTCTTCTCCGCTGCTGGAAAAAAAAATGCAGCCACCGCGACTCGGACCCGAGCCCAGAGATTCAAAGACCACAGGCTGTGTGCCGGCGATTGAGCGGGTTCTTTCACCCTCTGGCTGAGACGGTGAGACCCAGTGCTGAGTATCGACCGTAATACGGTTTGGTTCGTCGTGCGCGATTCGAAAGCGTCAGTACGCCTATTCCTTACTCTGAGATCCGGCGCCGAAAAGCGCCACTATCACCCCGGCACGACCAATACTTAAAAAACCTACAATTTTCATTTTGAATTAAAATTTTGTTTTTATGAGTGTGTGAGGGAGGAGGATAATCACCTAGGCGGAAAGGCGCTAAATGTTGTCCGCCGTTTTCTTCGGGCGGCGAGCCGGAAAAGGTTGAGAAGCGCTGACCTAACGCGACGTCACGCGTTTTCTCATGTCTTTACGACCCAGCAACAAGTAGCGGAGGGGGAGGGGCGGGGCTGCGGGGCGGGCGGGGTGCCGGGCTTGATGATGGTGCCGGCCCCGCCCCGCTCCGCCGCGTCGCCGAGCTCAAGACTGATTCCGAGAGTCGTTTTCGTCGCTCCGTCTCTGTCGCACTCATGGGGCGCTCCGGACGGGTGCGAGAGAGACGGAGCGAGCAGAACGACTCTCTGAATCGGCCTGCTTCGGCCTGCTGGCCGGGGAACTCACTTTAAGTTGAGCGAGGGAGGCCGAGAGGGGGGCGCGGGAGTTGCGAACCGTTTGCCTCTTTTCGTTCGCGCCGCCCGTCTCCCTCGCCTCACCCCGAACTTTGGCGCTTAAGCCGGCGGGGCGGGGCGGGGCGGGGCGAAGCAAGGTAAGGGAAATTGAGTGCGAACGGCACCGCGATAAGGCTAACGCAAGCTACGCCAGCGAGGCCGCTTCGTCGGTGGCACTGCCAAGAGTAAACGAGTATTTTGCTAGGGTGTACACAGACGATGTAGTTTGTTATACGAAGAATGACTTCGTTTGTTAGGTTGTGCAAGCTCGAAAGTGCTGTGTGGTGGCCAACTAGTTTCGTTGCGGGGCCTGAGGTGGATCGCAAGGCTCTGAGAGTGCGCTGGCCGGCCGGCCCACCGCGGCTCGCCCCGTGCAGTGATGTTGGCGCCGCCGGTGCCGCTGGCCCGCTGGCCCGCTGGCCCGCTGGCCCGCCAGGCGCTTCCGGACGCAACCAACAATCGATAATCAACTGTCCTTGAACCTTCCCTTCCCATTGGGCCGCCTAGCGCCGCCCTTGGGGAGATCTGGCCATGTGTCCGCTAAGCGTCTGCCTCCCCCACCCCACTTCCTACCTGGCTAACCTCCCCCTTCCCCCCCCCTCTTTTCTCCCCCGCAGTCCTTGATTGGTCGGCGCGCCGCGTTCCGGTCCTTTTACGTGTGTAACGCACAGTGTTACACCAAAAAAAAAAAAACATCGACGCTCCGATTTAGTGAGTTAGTGAATGGTTGTGGCGGGGCGGGAATGTGGTCAAAAGAGTAGAGGAAAATTCTTTTCCAATTCCGTTTAAATAAAAACAGGGAAGGGAAGAAACTTTACAGAAATTCGGCAGTGGATCAGCATTTGACGGCCAAAGTCAAATGCGTACCAGAATTATTCTTTTTGTTTCATTTTAAAACTTTTAGCGACGCAAAGTGATAATCCATCAGACACTCGTTTTGGTTGTCGAGCACAATCTCTGCAGTTGACACGCTTCTCCCTCTACGTTGTTATTTTTTTCCTTTGGTTTATCCTTGCTGTGTTCAGTTTGGCAGGCTCTGTGATGCGAGGAATCTGGACGCGTCGTAACACGGCTGCACAATACAGTATTGAGCAAGAGGGCGAGGGGGGGGGGAGGCGAGGGGGGAGGGGAGGCGAGGGGCGCGAAAGAGGGAGCGTCCGGAGAGCCGCGCCGCCGCGCCCCGTTCCAGCCGTTCCAGCCTTTCCAGTGTGTGGACACGACGTGCGCGGAATAACGAATGCACGCCACGTTGTCATGGCGACGGCTCAAAAGAGGGGGGGGGGCTGAACATGATGCATGTGCAGATGTAACGCGGCAACGCGGCTCGTGTGTGTCTATTTTCGAACCGTACGCTGCATCGATCATGCAACGACCACGTGTCTGGACGCTCTGTCTCTCTCGCGCCCGTGCGAGACGCTCCACGAGTGTGAGAGAGACAGAGTGAGCCTCGGGACCGGCCCGAAGAAAAAGGCCCCAACGGCGGGAGGGAGGACTTCGGGGCCATTTTCGGGAGTTTGTTGGGCGCACAGTTGGCCAGAACACCGGTGGAGGCGGTCAAAGTCCCGGACGCGTTTTGTTTGAGCTCCAGTGTCGCTAAATGGGGCTGGAACCGAACGTGAGACCCCACCAATGGATTGCTCTCCGAACGAGGAATCCATTAATGGGGTCACACGTTCGGTTCGAGTCCCGTTTAGCGACTGTGGAGCTCAAAACGCGTCGAGAGTTTAGACCTCTACCGGTCTTCTGGCCCACTGTGCAGCGGCGCGGTGTGTGTGGCAGTGTGGTGGCGCCAACTTTAAGGCGGCAAATTGTCGCTCCATTAGGGTGTGGGCCCACACTGTGGTCGCCGACCGAGTCGCCGACCCACCCGAGTCCCCGAGCTCCACTTGCCCCCCACGCCATCACCGTTGAATGAGCCAGATTGCCCAATCATGTCCGTATCGTTTGGCGGCGCCAGGAAAGAGGTCTGGTTCCGCCAGCCCCGCCAGCCCCGCCAGCCCCGCCAGCCCCGCCAGCCCCGCCAGCCCCGCCAGCCCCGCACGGTCGGGCCGTATATCACGCGGCCAAAGCCAACCAGACCGTCGGCGCGGCCCGGATCCGCCACGGCTCTGCCCCGGGCTTAGTCTGCCTGCGCCTCGGGTTGTCGCGTGAACACGTTAAGATGGCCACGCACACACACTCGCACACAAAAACACACACAGACACCCACACACACACTTACACGCGGGCGCGCCCTACACCATTAGCGTCGTGGCCTTGGCGGCACGGTGGCAGGGGCTCTTGGCAACGTTTGGTTCGGAGTCTTGAGGGTTTTCCTTCTAGATTTTACTTTCAGCCCGAGTCCCTCTAAAAAAAGAGAGCCTAAAAACACGAAATTGCCGTGGTGTAGCCGAAGCCTGGAGAACGTGTTGGTATCACCACTCGGCCGGCGTGGCGGCGGGCATGCTGCTGACTGCTTCCGAGAGTCGTTTGCGTCGTCCCGTCTCTCTCGCACTCATGGGGCGTCCCCTATAGCTGCGAGAGAGACGGGGCGACGAAAACGACTCTCGGAATCCTGCAGGCTTTCGGGTCGTCGTCCTTGGGGTGGTGTGGCGAGTCCGCTGACCCGGGCCGGGATTGCCCAGGACGGCGTTGTGGGCGTCGCAGCGTCGCAGCTGTTGGAGCGAAACCCCTTATCGCTACAAGTTATATTAGTATCGTTTCAGTTAGTTCTTAAGCCTGTCCCCGCCCACGTCGTTCCGAACGGCTCCGCCCGAGGTCTCTTCGTCCGAGGCGCCATAGTTTGGAAATAATGTTCGCGGGCATTTTGGCGCTAAACTCCTCTTCCCCGCTCCACTGCCCCACTGCGCATTCCGCATGTTGGCACCACTGGTAACGGTTGCACCGCACGCAGTGTACTGACTTAGAGATAGACGCAGGCAGAGTATAGCAATAAACCTTGTGGCTTGTTGATCGAAGTGGTTGGACGACGTAGCTAGTGTGTTGTTTGGACACCGGGCATGATGGTACACACTGCCCGTCTCTTTAACGGAAACATACACCTGCCTGCTCTCTTGCTTTCAGGAAAACATGCCCGCCCCGACGGCTGCCAAATCGGTACGCATTAACCCCGCCCCACTCCGCCCCGCCTCAACTAGCACGCTTTTAATTCGATTGGGCGGACCGATGCCGAACAGCGCTTTCGTGACGCTCTGTCTCTCTCGCACTCGCGGCCAAAGCGGCCGGAGCGGCGCGTTGTGGTGGGAGGGAGACGGAGCGGCGACGGAACGCGGGGCGGCGTCGGTCTGCGGGCCGCGGCGCGCGGGCTTAGCCCCACCGCGCTGACGCCCCAAACCCGAAGCATGCGATCCGACGCCCCCCTTCCCCCCGGCCGCGAATTGGAAATCGGGTTATTCTGGCCCGCGGCCCCGCTTCCCGCTTTTCCCGTGTAATTATCATCGCTTTTCCGAGCGCGTGAGCCGGCGCCGCTCGCGCACTATAAATTTCCCACAGAAAGGGAGACCGATTTCGCGTCAGTACGGGCGAAATACTCGGCCTGGACGCCGCGCCGTCCGAAAGTTTACTCTCCCTTATTTTTGGTGCCTCAACTTTTTGCATGACGCCGCGCCGTCCTCCGCCCTCTTGATCTCTCTTTTCCTTCTCGGTCCACACCGCCTCTCCTCTATCGACCCACGGCCAGCTCGACTCGCCCTGCCGTGCCCTGCCGTGCCGTGCCCTGCCGTGCCGTGCCCTGCCTTGGCCCTGCCGTGCCGGGCCCTGCCTTGGCCCTGCCGTGCCGTGCCCTGCCACGTTGCGCCGCGGAGGTGTGAGGCGGCTGGGCCCGGCCCGCCTAGGCTGCCCGTGCCCTGCAGGCCTTGCAGGCCTTGCCAGCATCCGCCCATCGACGCACCCCTAACGCACCTGCCTTCTTAGCTGCATCTCTCGCTTTCTCTCCCCCCCCTCTCTCTCTCTCTCTCTCTCTCTCTCTCTCTCTCTCTCCCTCTCTCTCCCCTTGTTTAGCTTTCGGCTTGGCTTTGTTGATTCTAATACCTATCTCTCTCTCTCTCTCTGGCAGTCCTGCCTCTGGGCCTCTCTGCCAGTAGTCCAGCGCGTCCACAAAGAGAGACGTGACGGGAATCGCGGAAGGCGGTCGGAGCGGCCAGCACGGCCAGCGCCGCCGCGCCGCCCCGCCCCGCCCCGCCCCGCCCCGCCCCCAGCCGCGTCCCAACCCAACACGCCGTCATTTACAAAGGGAGGACCTCGTGACCCCTCGACTAATACCCCGGCCGTGGCGGCGCGGCGCAGCGCCCAGCCAGTCCCAGCCGGGCAGGGCGGCACGGCGGCACGGCGGCACGGCGGCACGGCGCGCTCGGTCCGAACAGCGCCGCGCGTCTCGCTCGCACCGCCACCGGACGCGCCACGCGCCGCGAGCGCGGGACAGAGACAGCGCGACGAAAGCACTGTTCGGAATCAGCCTGCAGCCGGGCACAGCTCTCTCGCAAAGTGGATAATCGACCTCGCCGGGGATGGAGCGCGGGGGCGGGCCGGGGGAAAGGGGGAAGGGGAGGGGGGATGGCGCGCTGAAAAATAAAGTAGTCTTTGTGGATCAAGCGGGGAAAGGCAAAAATGCAGCGGCCTTTTCATTTCGTGAATGCGCCAAACTGCCTTCGCTGCGCCCTGCCGCGCCCTGTAGACTCATTCCGAAAGTCGTTTTCGTCGCACTGTCTCTGTCGCGCACCTATGCGGGACGCCCCATGAGTGCGAGCGAGACAGCGACGAAAACGACTCTCGGAATCAGTGTGCTGCCCTGCGCCCTGCACTAGCCTCAAACTTTTTTCCCCGGTGCGCACGGGATTTACGGAAAAGATATACTAAAGTACCGCGCCGGTCTAATATCTCCCTCCCCGCTCCCCCCCCCCCCCCGGGCGCCCACACCTCAGCCAAGGTTGGGAAGGGATGAGGCAAAAGAAAGAGGCGGAAAAGCAAAGTCCCCCCACCCCCACCCCCTCGTATGCCTCAACGTGCCCTAACTGTATAGTAAACAGCGGATGAATACTGGATGAATTAATTTCACCCTTTTGAAAACGGCAGCAGGGGCGGCAGCGGCACACACACAAACCGAGTTGGCGCGGCATGCGAAGCCCGCCGGCCAAGCCGAGCCGGCCGAGCTTCCCGCCAAGCTTCCCGCCGAGCTTCCCCGCCAAGCTTCCCGCCGAGCTTCCCGCCAAGCTTCCCGCCAAGCTTCCCGCCAAGCTTCCCGCCAAGCTTCCCGCCAAGCTTCCCGGTCAAGCTTCCCGCCAAAGCTTTCCCGCCGAGCTTCCCGGTCAAGCTTCCTCGCCAAGCCCAGCCCCGGAAGTGCCGTGATGGAACCACGGTAGGAATCTTGAAAAAAAAAGCGAAAAAGAAACACAGCTTGCTTGGTGAGCCCAGCCCGCCCTTTTGGCGGGAGTTTATTTATCGCCTAGCCGGCGGTGGTCGTTCCGCGTGTGTCGTGTGGTCCGACGATGGTGTGGGCGGATCAGTCAAACGAGTGGGCGGCGCAGGCGGGGCGCGCCGCAGGCGGGGCTCCATGTGGACACTCAGTGGGCATTCGGCGGACTTAAATATTTCACAGTGCATTAGGAGGGGCGTGGGACAGACAGGCAGGCAGGCAGGTAGGATCGGAATAGCCGATGCAAAACGTCGCCCCATCTCGTCTCGTCGCGCACAGCCTTCCGTCGCCCTGTCTCTCTCGCACCCCTTCGCGACGCCCCGTGAGTGCGAGAGAGACAGGGCGCGACGCGGCGCGACGGCCATCGGCGCCGGATGACGACCAAGGCGGCGACTGTCTGACCGTCGAGGGGCGTGTTGGATCATGTATGGAGTCCGCATCACAGCCAGCAAGCGAGGCGAAGCGAGGCGAGGCAAGGCGTGCAGTGGAAAGCCATATTGATCGCTCTGTCAGCCAGGGGTGCCGTCCGTCCTCGCCGTCGTCCTCGCCGTCGTCCTCGCCGTCGTCCTCGTCTCCGTGCCAGTGTGCCGTGCCAGTGCCGTGCCAGTGTGCCGTGCCGCACGCCACGCCACGACACGTGGAGCGACAATTAGACCATCCCCCCCCGTCCCGGCCCCGGCGGCGGCGGTCGTCTGGGCCCCGGCTCTGGCCCTCCACCACACACTCACACATGCACCGTAAAGAGAAATGGAAGAATCCGTAATGATTCTCCTCGAAAAACGCAAAGAAATGGATCTGCTTTTGGTGGCCACAGAAATGTCACAGGCGTTGTCAGAAAGTCGAAGGGTTCCAGATTTGATGGAGGCAAATTCAAATCTGGTCAATTTTAGAAATTTACACAAATTTGGTCATTGTTAGAAATTCACTCTATCAAATGTGGAACCCCTGAACTGTCTCTGAGGACACCAGTGCCGTTTCCGTGCTAAAAAGAAACTGCGGATCCATTTTATTCCCAGTCAATTTCAGCGATTTGAGGATCACAATCACTACCGATTCCGCCATCTCGATGCACTGTGTACACCCACTTTGACGCGCGCTGACCGTGCCTGCCTTCCACCACCTCCACGCCCCGGCGCGCCGCGGCGCCCCGTCCCGCGATCAACTACCCCTAGTCGACCTAGTGGAGTCGAGTGGAGTGGCGCCGTGAAGCGGAAGGCGCTGAAAATACCCCGCATGACGCTGTCGCGCTGCAGGCCGAGGTCTCTCTCGCTCTCATGGGGCGTCCCGCGTGGCTGTGAGAGAGACAGAGCGACGGGGCCGACCGGGACCTCCCGTCCAGCCTGCTGGCGCCGTGCTGGCGCCATGCCGACGAGCCCCTTGACGCGAGAGCCCCGCCGGCCGAGAGGCGAGGCAGGCGAGGCGAGGGGAGGTCGAGCGTGGCGGATTGGCACCGAGTCACTGCGTCACCCCGTCTCTCTCGCACTCATGCGGCGCGGGCGGCGTCCTTACGCGTGTACGAGAGAGACGGAATCATTCTGCGCGCAGCCAGGCGGTACATTGCAGCACGGTTTTAAGCTGCTGGCGCTGCTGGGACCGGGGACGGCTTTTTTCGCGAGACTCCCCGACAAGCCCGCCGGCCGCCCGTTTGAAGGGGAAAGGGGATACTGAAAACGTTTCAGCAGCCAGCTCGGGTTTCGATAAATGCGGCGATGGTGGTTGAGGGGAGGGGAGGGGGGGCCGGAGCGTGAGTGCCTCTCGCCGCTTCCCTTGAATACCGATAGCCGGCCGCGCGCCGCCACGCCGCCAACTTTGCACTCGGCCACAGTGGGCCAGAATGCCGGTGGAATCCTGGACGGGTTTTGATCTTCAGAGTCGCTAAACGGGACTCAAACCGTAAACCCAATTTTAAAGGGAGTTGTGTGTATGGCCCCGTCGTGGGTACCATGTGTCGTTTTGTCTAGTGTTGAGGGGGCAGGGGGCTGACGCGGTAATCTGGACGGATGCTGACCTGTGAATAGTGTAAAGACCCATGCTTACCGGAGGGTGTGCGGCACACTGTGCGGGGGCTGGCGGAGCTGGCCGGTGGTGCGTTCCCCCGAAGGCGAAGGTTCGCACCGCGCCGTTCGCAAACCCTCGCTCTCGAGCGTTTTGCTCGTGGAAACTCGGAGCCCCAGAGACGAAACGGAGACGTTGGCTTGGCAGGGTTGGCCGCCCTGCCCTGGGCCTGGGCTGGTGCAGGCTGGTGGGCCGGGCGGCGCCGTTGGGCGAGCTGGCGCTGGGCTGGCTGGGCTGGCTGGGCTGCGGCCCCTCGCCGGCCGTGTCTCGGACACGGGCTCAATCCAATTGAAGCCATCAATACGGATTGTGCAGCATCAGGTAACCCGGCCAGGTGGGGCGCGCTGGTCGCGGGGGGGGGGGGGCATAGCAGTGGGTGGGTCCAACAACACCACCGGCCGCACGTGTTTTCCCTGTTTCCAACAACTTCTCGAGTGGTTTAACAAGCATCCTTAGTCTGAAACCACATCGCAGACAACTGTAAAAACATCCGTCGTACGAGGATTCGAACCCAGGATCTTGGGATCTGACGATGAGTGTGCTTGTGTTGCAGCGGGCGAGCGGCGGCCGGTGCCGGTGCTGGTGTGGATCTACGGCGGCGGCTACATGAGCGGCACCTCCACGCTGGACGTGTACAACGCGGACATGGTGGCGGCCACCAGCGACGTCATCGTGGCCTCCATGCAGTACCGCGTGGGCGCCTTCGGCTTCCTGTTCCTGCCGCCGGGCGCGCGGCCCGACGCCGAGGACGCGGCGGGCAACATGGGGCTGTGGGACCAGGCGCTCGCCATCCGCTGGATCAAGGAGAACATCGCGGCCTTCGGCGGAGACCCCGACCTCATCACGCTGTTCGGCGAGAGCGCCGGCGCAGGATCGGTGAGTCGCGGCCTCGCGCCAGTCTAGTGGCGCACGGTGTGCCAGAAGACCGGAGGAGGCGGCCGAAATCCTAGACGCGTTTTGACCTCCAGAGTCGCTAAATAGGATTCGAACCGGACGTGTGACCCCACCAATGAACTGCTCTCCGAACGAGGAATCTATTGGTGGGGTCACACGTTCGGTTTCAGTCCTCTTTGGCGACTCTACAGCGCAAAACGCGTCTCGAGTTTTGGCCGCCGGCGCCCGGCCGTAGGGCATAATGGGACCGATGGGTACAGATAATCCGAACGAAGAAAAACACAAATTGGCTCACTTGATATCTCTTTTTAGTGCCTGAGAATTTTGCTAATAGTAAATAAATTTAAATAACAGCAAGACTTTTTTTTGGGGTACCACAGGCCTAAAGGAAGGGAAAAGGCGGAAAGGCAAGGCGGCAGTGGGACGACAGGGCAGAGATGACAGGCGAGAGGGTGTGAGAACAGGCACCGCCAGCACCACGCGATGGCACTCAGGGGATGTCGAGTTTGTTGGCCTACACGGCGAACACGGCGGCACCCTCCTCGACGCGGCGCGGCACGGCACGGCGGCGCGACGTGCCCTTCCCCCTCCCCTCCCCCACCCGCGTGGCCCTGACGCGTGATTTCTCCGTGGACTTGTCGAGGAAGGGCTGCCGGCGCTGGTGGGGCTGGCGGGGCTGGAAGGGCACGCGCATCCCCCGTGCCTTTTCGCGCCGAGGGCCGCGTGTATTAGTCAAGGGTGACTAGGTCAGGGGCGGGGGAGGGAGGGAGGGAGGGAGGGAGAGGGAGAAGGGCGCTGCGCTGCCGGCGCTGGGCACGGGGGACTCCCTTTACGCGTGTTCCTGCAAGGCGTCTCATCGCTTTTGTAAATGCGCGGCGCGCGGCGCCCGGCCCCGGCCCTGGCCCGGCCCCCCCGCCGCTGGGAGGTGCTTACGCCAAGGGGGCTGTTCCCTCCGGTTCCCTCGCCCGTTCCGGCACGAAAGCAGGAGGGAGGAATAGAGACACGAAAAGGCCGGAACGGCGGAAAAACGAGGAAAAAAAACGGGCCGTGGAAGATCGGTCGGGTTTGCAGTATGTTTGGCCGTCCCGCGCGGAAAGAAATATTTTGGAGTCGCAGCTGGGTGCCTGAGGTAGGCAAGGTAGGGCAGGGCCGCGATATCCCACTACACTGCAAATGCATGATAAAACAAACGAAGAGCAATAAAATAAACGCTTTAAATAAGTATTTCTACGCGGTAAACAATTAAAAAACAACAAAAGTGATTAGCCCGAGGGGGAAACGACTGAGAAATTTTGTGTACATCGGATAGGGATAACCCCGGATAACCCGCGGATTACCTCCGGATAACATCGAAAAATTTCCAGGATTACCATTGGATTACCCCGGATTACCTCAGAATTTCCCCGGATTACCTCGGATTACCTCAGAATTTCCCCGGATTACTCCGAAATTTCTGGTTATCCGGATAGCGGATAACCAATTTGCTGTACATCGGATAACCGAAGTCGTTTCCCCCTCGGATTAGCCAAAGGTCGAATTGTGCTGAACTGTTTCCTCTCTCCTTGCAGGTGAGCCTGCACCTGCTGTCGCCGGTGACGCGGGGGCTGGCGCGGCGCGGCATCCTGCAGTCGGGCACGCTGAACGCGCCCTGGTCCTTCATGACGGGCGAGAAGGCGGCCGAGGTGGCGCGCAAGCTCATCGACGACGTGGGCTGCAACGCCACCAAGCTGCCGGACGCCCCGCTCAAGGTGGGTCGTCACGCTCTGCGGGCCGGGGCGCAGAGGGCCTCCAAGAGGGCCTCCAAGACCTCGGCTGCAGAAGGAGACGCCCATAATTAGTTCCCGCCCCTCTCACCAGAGGGCGCCTCCAGGGACACGCACCACTGGGGAGGAAAAGGGGAGGGGGTGCTGGGGACGCACGTCCGCCTTAAGGCCCGGGCGTGAACGGCCTGGCCAATGTGGTCCACTTTCAATAGTCCGGGGGGTGCGTCCGCCAGCCCGCCCTAACAATGTTCCACCTCTTTCTTCCAGGTGATGTCGTGCATGCGGCAGGTGGAGGCCAAGACCCTGTCCACCATGCAGTGGAACTCGTACTGGGGCATCCTCGGATTCCCCTCGGCGCCCACCATCGACGGCGTCTTCCTGCCCAAGCACCCGCTGGACCTGCTGCGCGAGGCCGAGTTCGACCAGGACACCGAGATCATGATCGGTTCCAACCAGGACGAAGGTGAGCCGCCGTCACTCTGTCTCCCTCGCACTCGCGGCGCGTCGTCGGCGTGCCGCGGGGGAAGCGAGACGCTGTTCGGAATCAGACGCCATGCGCGCCAAAAACTGCGATCCATTTGATCCTTCGAGGCCTGTCGTCGGCACTACGCACTGCGCACCGCCGCGTACTGTACCTCCCCTCCCGTTCGCATTCGCTTCTCTCAACGCGATCCAAGCGGCTCCGGGAGTGCCGCCTGTCTCGGCGTGCAACGCGGTGCGCCGCGCAGGGTAGGCAACCCAACGGGCGGCCCCCTGCTTGCCCCGGCTCTGGCAGGCTCCACCCAGCAGCCCCCGGGCCCCGGCCGAGCGGCCGAGCGGCCTCGGCTTCGACCACATGCAGTGCGGTGCGGCGCACGTTGGTGCCGTGCAGGTCACCGCCAGCCCTGCCAGCCCTGCCAGCCCTGCCAGGCCGCCGCCGAGCATGTTACTTTTTTTACGGCCGACTTCCGACCGCCACTTTGCGAGGGCTGAGCCCGGCCTAGTCCGGCCTAGCTCGACTCGGCAGGACGAAAAGAACACGACCATCATCTGGTTGCGCCGGGTGCCGGGCGCTGTGCCGGGGCGCTGTGCCGGGGCCCTTGCCGTGGACGATTTAATATTCTTTGCAATAACACAATTGCGGCGGCCGTCGCCGTCGCTGCCAGCGTCAGGACATTTCTCCGCCCCCAGAGCCCCAGGCGCCGCCGACGCCGCTGCATTTTTTCATTTTTCCCAGCGAGGCGGAAGCAATTGGCGCTGCGCTGATAGTCTCTTTCTCCCCTTTCATCTTTCTCCTTTTCGTTCCAGGCACCTACTTCATACTGTACGACTTCATGGAGTCCTTCGACAAGGACACGTCCAGCTTCTTGGCCCGCGACAAGTTCATCGAGATCGTCAACACCATCTTCAAGAACATGAACCGGCTGGAGAGGGAGGCCATCATATTCCAGGTACACTGCCAAGTCCGCGTTCGATAGCCGAGGCTGTCCGAAAGCTCCAAGCCCGTCCGATTTTATCCTTTCCATTCTATCGCCACACCAACACCTCCGATTCGTGTCGAGTCCCCCCTAATCTTTCAGCCCCGCCGAGTGGAGCGATGGGGGAACTCCTTTCACAGTCTCGTGAGGGATGTTCGTGTCACCTCGCGGCACTTGGCGCATCGAGCGCCCCGCCCCGCCCCGCCCCGCCCCGCCCCGCCCCGCCCCGCCCCGCCCGCGCCGTCATTCAAAGCACCACATGCTACTATCGGAATGCGAGGTGTCTAAAGCCGGGAGATTATACCGAGTGCTTGCGACCGCCTCTCCGGCCAGACTCTCCCGACTCTGTCGCCCGCCTCCCAGATTCTCCAGCCTCTCCAGGCTGACTCCCTCCAGCCTCTCCAGACGTGCGGCGCGGCGAGGCGTGGAGACACCAAGAAGCGCCTCGCCTCGCCGCACCTCGCCAGTCCCGTGAGGTTACCTTCGATCAATATCACGCCGAGCCTCGCCGCCTCGCCGGCCTCGCCGCACTACCAGTGGCGTGCCCTGCCCCGCCGTGCCCCGCCGTGCCCCGCCGTGCCCGACCTCCCTCCCTGAGGACGCACTCGACTGCAAGGCGCGCGAGGCGCGCGAGGCACGCCAGGCGTGTGGAGGCAACGCAATTAATTCAAGTCAGCGCAGATTGATTTGCGCAGCACATTCGGCTCGATTAAGCTCACTAGTCGTGAAATGACAACTCACGGACAGGTGTGGCGGAGAGAGTGCTAAGTTCCTTACCGGGCGTTCGTTACGGTGCAGCACTCGAGCTCGCAACGCCGCGTTCTTTTTCGTTCTTTTTTATTTTTAAGAAAACTACTTAGCCACCTTCTTCCCAGGGAAGTCACCAAAAGGCCATCCCAGCCGGGGAAGTCTGCTCCAAAACTAGCTCTAAAACTCCCAGAACTCCGTCAATTATTAAAAAAAATCTTTCTATTTAACACAAGACGAAAAAGAAGTCAACAAAATGACGAAGTGTTTCCCTCCCTGGAGATGTCGCCGTCTCTCATTGGAAGGGCTGGGCGAGCAGGTGAGCGGGGCGGGGCGGGGCGGGGCGGGGCGATGCGGGGCGGGGCGGGGCGGGGCGGGGCGGGGCGGGGCGGGGCGCCGTAAGTTATTATCTCGCAGGGCCGTGATTCCGGCCGGGCTTGTCTGCGCCGCTGCGCCGTGAGGCCGTGCGGCCGTGAGGCGCCGAGGCACTTGTGGGAGGAGGTAACAACGTGGCGGGACCGCTTGCTCCACCATTTTATCCGGAACCATAACTCCCCGGACGCGCCACGCCGCCACGCCACTCCCCCTCCCAGCCGGCCGCAGCTCCCTTTCCTGCGAAACTCCTTCCGCCACTGCCGCCCGATTTCGAGAGGAGTCCGCCAGACTCGGCCAGACTGCTCGGCTCGGCTCGCCCAACTTTGGAGCGACGTGCTCATCACGCGGGGCGGGGCCAAGCGCGCCAAGCGCGGGGCTGCTGGCTTCCGGGCTGGCTTCGCACCGCTCCGCACCATCCCGTCGACCGCCACCCCGTCAACTGCTATCCCATCGACCACCACTTCCCCGTCGCACAGTGGGCTTGAAGACCGGTGGAGGCGCCCAAAACTCTAGACGCGTTTTGAGCTCCAGAGTCGCTAAACTGGACTCGAACCGAACGTGTGACCCCACTAAGGGATTCCTCGCTCGGAGAGCAATCGAGTGGTGGGGTCACGCGTTCGGTTCGAGTCCCATTTAGCGACTCTGGACCTCAAAACGCGTCAAGAGCTTCAGGCGCCTCCGCCGGTCTTCTGGCCCACTGTGCGTCGACTGACACTCCTTGCCCCTCCGTGTCGGTGCGTTTGCAGCCACCACTTCCGCGCCGCAAATCGGAAGTCGGAGACTGTGACCCTTCTCTTTTATCCTGCAGCCTGATTCTGAGAGACTTTTTCGCCGCGCTGTCTCTCTCGCACTCATGGGGCGTCCCGTATAGATGTGAGAGAGGCAGAGCGACGAAAACGACTCTCGGAATCAGCCTGTCGCCCATCCCCTCAACCCATCCCTCTTCCCGGCCCGACCCCAGCCCCAGTCTCGAGGAGCTCCATCTCCTCATCCCCCCTCACCCCAAACCCGTGGTTCCCCTCGGTGGCCGCGGGCGCCTTTGGTTCAAAGGCATCACAGAGAAGCCCGCTGCCGCCGCGGCATAGCAAGACGAAGCAGGGCGTGTCCCCACCCTCTAGCCAACGGACAAAAATTCCAGCACTCTGGTAAAACAATGGCATAAAAATTGCACCCTTTAGGTCATAAACACTCTTCTACGCTTTTAAAGGCGTAAATCGTTGATGCCCTTGGGAAGGGCGAGAATGGTTTAGGGCTTTTGAGCAAAATTTTAATGCCCTTCCAAAGGGCATTGACGATTCACGCCGCTCCAGGGGCGCAAAATCGTTTTAATCCCTTTGTTACACCAGTGGCAACAAAAAAATGACTTTACTGCGGACGAAGGCTCAATGCAAGTCCCAAGTGCCTTCCTAGCAATTTTAAAATTGATTTGTTTTTTCAAATGGCTTTTGTGTTGTAAGATTGAGGAAGCAGCAGGCTGATTCCGAGCCCCCCCCCCTTCTCCTCCCCCGCGAGAGTGAGACAGACAGACAGACAGACAGACAGACAGACAGACAGCGCATCCTCCTCTGAATCAGCCTGGCTATAGAGCCGGGCTGGAGTCGGGCTGGAGCCGCGCAAAGCTTGGTCAGGCCGGAGCGGCACTGGCAAATCTCTGCGTCGCCAAACTTTGCCAGCGCGGCGGCAGTGTGGCGGCGGTGCGGTGAGGAGGCTGCGCGCGAGCATGGAAACACATTTGGGATGCGGCTACTTTTCCCCCGAGCGCGTAGCGGCGTAGCCATGGCGTAGCGCCGCGCGGCAGCCCTGCGTCAGCATGGCCCCCGAGTTTTCCGCGCCGAGTGTGTTGTTTTACCCAGCCAGCCGAGACGACCCACAGTGGGCCAGAAGACCGGTGCAGGCGGCCAAAATTCAGGACGCGTTTTGAGCTCCAGAGTCGCTAAATGGGACTCGAAACGAACGTGTGACCCCACCAATGGATTGCTCTCCGGACGAGAAATCCGTTGGTGGGGTCACACGTTCGGTTCGAGTCCTGTTTAGCGGCTCTGGAGCTCAAAACGCGTCTAGAGTTTTGGCCGGCTCTACCGTCTTTTGGCCCACTGCGGCCCCTACTGCGCTGCTTTCAAACTTAAAGAAGCAGACTGGCGCGCCGAGACTGCTTGTGACACTGTTCTGTCTCGTGTTGCAGTACACGGACTGGGAGAACATGTCCGACGGCTACCTGAACCAGAAGATGATCGGCGAGGTGGTGGGCGACTACTTCTTCATCTGCCCCACCAACAAGTTCGCCAACATGTTCGCGGATCACGGCATGAGTGTGTACTACTACTACTTTACGCAGGTCAGTATTATTGATTAGCAGTGTTTTGTCTTTTTTCCTCGCGGGCCAGGGGCGGGGAGTGTTTAAATCTATTGAGCAAATACGGAAAGTACGAAACTGGTCGAGGCGGGTCGAGGTGAACACGTGCCGGATAAATCAATCATTCAAAAGAAACAATAAACAATAGTTACGGGGAAAAAGCGAGAAAAAACAACAGAAGGATAAATAAAAAGTAGGAAGAGAAGTAAGAAGAAAGTTGGAAACTCATCGCGTACGTCAAAATGTAAAGTTTGCTTCGTTCCGGTCACGCCGTCGCTGCCGTAGCGTGCGGCCAGTGCGGGGTGGCAGGGCGTGGCGTGGGGGTGGGGTGGGGGCGTCCCTGCCCTGTCCTCTCGGCGCCACGACGACTCCCCCCCACCCCCTGGTCCCAGTGGCCTTGACGGGGTGGGGCCGTCGGGGAGCAGCGTAGCGTAGAGTAGCGTAGCGTAGCTTCGGAGCTGTTTTCAATTTACAAAGCGCACACCGGGCCCCGGGCCTGCCCTGCTAGCCTGCCCTTCCTTGGCCGGGGCGGGGCGGGGCGGGGCGGGCTGGGCTCGTAAATTACAGTGGCCTCCGCCGTGGCCGCCTTGGCCGTCACGGCAGCGGCGCCACGACGACACCGCCGTTGTTTCCCCGGATTGGATCGGTTCGGAGATTGGGATCGCGCGGCGCATTGCAAAGCATTGCCGAGCATTGCCAAGCGTTGCATCGCTTTGCGCCCTTGGAAATAATCCACCGGCCTGCTGGCGGGCCGGGGTGGCCGGGGCGGGGGGGAGGCCATCGGCCAGAGAGTAACATCCGCCGAAGGGTGCGCCGGGACGAGCCTTGGAGTGCGCCGGGCCCGGCCAGAGGGCCGATGGGGCCCCACGGGGGGTGGCGGGGGGCGGCGGGGGGGAACTGGGGTCAGCGAGAAGACGGCGGTCTCGTATCTGATGGCAGCGGGTCAAAGGTCAAAGGTGGGCAGTGGTTGCTGTCCGACCCGGGGTCCGACCAGCCGACCGGGCGGTAGGGCCATTTGGGGTAGCCCCCCACTCGTCCTTGGTTGTAACGACGGTGCCGAGGGCGCCCCACCCCGCCCCACCCCGCCCTCCGCGCCCCGCCGAGGACACCCCACCCCACCGCACCCTGGCCTCCTCGTTAGCGGCAATATTGTCGGAAACGCAACGGGCAAAGTGACTTGGGGTCGCCGCGCGGCGCAGCCATGAGCTGCTGTGGCCGGAACTGGGACCCCGCGCCTTGCCCCGCCCCGCGACCCTTGCGAGTCGGTCCCTTCGTCCTGCCGCAGGCTGCTCCCGAGTCGCTCCGTCCCTCTCGCACTCGTTGGGCAGTCCAGGAGGTGCGAGAGAGACGGAAAATACTGTTCGGAGTCAGCCGGTGGCGACGCGGCCCTCGGCCAGCCCTTTCATTGGGGCTGCTGCCGTGCTGGCCCCGCTGGCCCCGCTGCTCGGCCACGTGCGAGTGCGACCGCAGCGCCCGGAGCCCTTCCGTCTCGGCAGACTCGGCAGACTCGGCACGGGGCCGCGGGTTGAAAACAACGCCTCTCATGACAGCCATCGCGGCGTTCGCGGCGCCCCGGGGCCCCGGGCCGGCTGCGGGCTGGGCTCACTCCGTAGAGTCGCTCTGTCTCTGTCGCACTCCCGCACTACTCGGCGGCGGTGGGAGAAAGACAGAGCTGCCAAGCGCCTCTTCGCAACAAGCGGACGAGCCAGCGGACGCGGTCAGCAGCGCGGTGCTGGTCGCATAGCGCCTGGGCGTCACAGGGCACCGCGATTCCACGAAACTGGCGCTCCGTTCAGAGAGCCGATGTAGGAGGCGAACTGTACCCGTCGGCGCAGAGTACCCCCGGGTGCACAACGCCTAGGGCCATAGAACCCTGGGGTACATGACGACTAGGTTCAATGTACCCAGGGGTACAATGCGCCTAGGTGCCAGGCGAATTGTACCCCGGGTACAATGCGGCTAGGCGAAATGTACCCCGGGGTACATTTTGCCTAGGCTTATTGTATCCCCCGCCGGCCGGAGGAGGATGCACGTCGCCTGGGCGCAATGCATCCCCCCCCCCCCCCGGATACAAAGAGCCTAGGCGAGGAGTATCCCCTCGGCCGGCCGGAGGGGGATACAAAAAGCCTAGGCGCAATGCATCCTCCCCCGGATACAAAAATCGAAAAAAAAAAGAAGAAAAAAGGGGGCCCTTCTCCCACCTCCGCACACAGGTCGGAGGGCCGCCTGCAACTTCGGTGGATCGGGGGAACCGGTGCTTTACAGGCGGCGACCCCAGGGGTTCTCGTCTGTATATGGGCCGGGCTTGAAGGGCGGGTTTGACAGTCTCTCTCTGCCTTGAGAGCCTTTGCTTTTCGCGGGGTGGTCTGTACCAATGTACACCCGCTGTCCGGCGCTCTCTACCAAACATACAGCTTGTTTAAGGGCCAGCTTCAAAGGACTTATCATCTCCTCCCGACGAATCAGGAGGACCCACCCGCGACCAATTACGGGTGGCTGGATTGACGGATCAAATACTCCGTCGCTCCAGTGCCGAGGCCAACCCGCCGAAGCGCAGTTGCTTTTTAGACACCCCAGCGGAGTGGCCAGGTGAATGTGACTCTGACCACTACGCTATCAAGCTTGTACGTCTGGCGTCGTGTTGGACGACGGGTTTGAGTTGCAGTGGAAGGAAGCCAGTCGAAAAATGTAATGAAATGATGGGAGTCGATCCCAGGACTCTACTGCCGGGCCGCACGACTTTTGCCGCTCGCCCACCACGGCCCATGACGAATGGAGCGGCGTGAGGCGGGCTCTTGACGCGACAGGAATGGACCGACCCGGTCAAAATTTCACAAGAAGTTTGGGGAGTCGAACCGCCGACCTCAGCACGGAGAAGCGACGCCTCTACTCCCTAGACCACCACAGCACATGCAGTTTGTTGGCTGAAGTCACGGTTGTCAACCACACTGGGCGAGGCAGTAAAAATAAATGTTAAAGTTCCTATAGGAATCGAACCCCCGACGTGTGGGACTGTTCTACACGGCTCCGCTCTGATGGCCTCAAACCCGTTCCACAAAAGAAAGGAAATCGAAAAAAAATTTTGAGATGCCGGTATTCGAACACCGCAAATGTTACAGACGTTCGATCGCATTTGCACAGTGCGGTGTTCGAATACCGGCATCTCAATTTTTTTTTTCGATTTCCTTTCTTTTGTGGAACGGTTTGAGGCCATCAGAGCGGAGCCGCGTAGTGCGTAGAACAGTCCCACACGTCGGGGGTTCGATTCCTGTAGGGACATTAACATTTAATTTTACTGCCTCGCCCAGTGTGGTTGAAAACCGTGACTGCAGCCAACAAACTGCATGTGCTGTGGTGGTCTAGGGAGTAGAGGCGTCGCTTCTCCGTGCTGAGGTCGGCGGTTCGACTCCCCAAACTTCTTGTGAAATTTTGACCGGGTCGGTCCATTCCTGTCGCGTCAAGAGCCCGCCTCACGCCGCTCCATTCGTCATGGGCCGTGGTGGGCGAGCGGCAAAAGTCGTGCGGCCCGGCAGTAGAGTCCTGGGATCGACTCCCATCATTTCATTACATTTTTCGACTGGCTTCCTTCCACTGCAACTCAAACCCGTCGTCCAACACGACGCCAGACGTACAAGCTTGATAGCGTAGTGGTCAGAGTCACATTCACCTGGCCACTCCGCTGGGGTGTCTAAAAAGCAACTGCGCTTCGGCGGGTTGGCCTCGGCACTGGAGCGACGGAGTATTTGATCCGTCAATCCAGCCACCCGTAATTGGTCGCGGGTGGGTCCTCCTGATTCGTCGGGAGGAGATGATAAGTCCTTTGAAGCTGGCCCTTAAACAAGCTGTATGTTTGGTAGAGAGCGCCGGACAGCGGGTGTACATTTGGTACAGACCACCCCGCGAAAAGCAAAGGCTCTCAAGGCAGAGAGAGACTGTCAAACCCGCCCTTCAAGCCCGGCCCATATACAGACGAGAACCCCTGGGGTCGCCGCCTGTAAAGCACCGGTTCCCCCGATCCACCGAAGTTGCAGGCGGCCCTCCGACCTGTGTGCGGAGGTGGGAGAAGGGCCCCCCTTTTTTCTTCTTTTCTTTCTCGATTTTTGTATCCGGGGGGAGGATGCATTGCGCCTAGGCTTTTTGTATCTCCCTCCGGCCGGCCGAGGGGATACTCCTCGCCTAGGCTCTTTGTATCCGGGGGGATGCATTGCGCCTAGGCGACGTGCATCCTCCTCCGGCCGGCGGGGGATACAATAAGCCTAGGCAAAATGTACCCCGGGGTACATTTCGCCTAGCCGCATTGTACCCGGGGTACAATTCGCCTGGCACCTAGGCGAATTGTACCCCTGGGTACATTGAACCTAGTCGTCATGTACCCCAGGGTACTTTGGCCCTAGGCGTTGTGTACCCGGGGGTACTCTGGGTCGGGGGGGTACACTTACACGCCGACACCGACTTTGCGTTCATCTGCTCGGGACCACTTTTAAATGCCAGGTTTCCGCTGGCGCAACCTGGACCAAGTAGATCGAGGGAAAGCTGCCTCCACAAACTTTTAAACGCGTTAGACTTTGTTTCAGTCATAGAGTAACCGAAAAATTCCATCGCCACTTTTTGCCTGGTTTATAAATTTTCTGCGGTTTCTCCCCTCGTGCTCCGCCCTGCCCGCCCGTGCTCCCCCCGGCGACCGCCCCGGCGACCGCCATCGTCGCGGGGCACGCACCGTCGCCGCGGTCAAGTGGCACGACCAGGCTGGACCAGCAGACTGATTCCGCGAGTCGTTTTCGTTGCTCTTTCTCTCTCGCACATGTACGGGACGGCCCATGAGTGCGAGAGAGACAGAGCGATGCAAACGACTCTCGGAATCAGTCTGCAGGCTGGCCAGCGCAATCAAGATTCTGTTCGATTGTTTCGTTTCGCTTCGTTCTGTTGGCCGGCATGGCTCTGCCAGTGTCTCGGTCAACGCCCCGCGCGAGACTAAACGCGCTGCTCCCCGATGGGGCGCACGTCCCCGGCAGCCGTAAGGCAGCGCTCCGCTGCGTCCCAAACGAGGCGAAAAAGAAGGAAGAAGGGTGAGGTCGCGGAGAGGGAGCGAGCGAGGCACAAGCCGATGGCGGATGTGTTACTCTGCGGGTGTTCGGTCGCGAACGTCTCATCCCGTCGTCAACAATAGGGACTTGCACAGTGGGCCAGAGGACCGGTGGAGGCGGTCAGAATCCCGGACGCAAGCTTTAGAGTCGGTAAATGGGTCTCGAACCGAACGTGTGACCCCACCAATGGATTGCTCTCCGGACGAGGAATCCATTGGTGGGGTCACACGTTCGCGTCGTGTCTTGCTTAGCGACTCAGGAGCTCAGAGCGCGTCTCTGGCCCACTGCATGGTGAGGGTTGCCACGGAGGAGCCGTGAGGCCTGGAAGCTGCGAGGCCTGCACCATTGCAGCGCGGCGCGCCTTCCTGCCTTCGGCTTGTCGCTCGATACAAATCGTGCTCAAGCAGTCTTGTCCCGTCCCTTCCCCGACCCTTCCCCAAATTGAGCCCCCCTCCCCTCATCACCCCCGCCACCTGGCTACTGCGCTGCGGGGCCTCAGCCGCCCAGCAAAGACTCCACTGACGACGTGTGCGTGTGTGTGTGTTGCAGCGCACCAGCACCAACCTGTGGGCCGACTGGATGGGCGTCATCCACGGCTCCGAGATCGAGTACGTGTTCGGGCTGCCGCTCAACATGAGCCTCATGTACAACGCCCGGGAGCGCGACCTCAGCCTGCGCATCACCCAGGCCTACTCGCGGTTCGCGCTCACCGGGTAAGCATCTTAACAACGCTTTACCGCGCTTTGTGGTTGTTGTTGTTGTTGTTGTTGTTGTTGTTGACGGTGACAATCGTCTGTTGCAGCAAACCCGTGATGGACGACGTGTACTGGCCGACGTACTCGCGCGACAAGCAGGAGTACTTCATCTTCAACGCGGAGACGAGCGGCGTGGGCAGGGGGCCGCGCGCCAAGGCCTGCGCCTTCTGGAACGACTTCCTGCCGCGGCTAAGGAACACCTCGGGTAAGAGGGCGGTGTCGCGTGGCGCACGCGTGGTGCAGCTGCAATCAATAAGTATCGATTGCGGGCCATTAGCGCGGCCTGATTATCGGGGGATAAGACTGAGGCCCCCGCCGAGGCCGCGCCGAGGCCCTGCGGACTGATTCAGAGAGTCGTTTTCGTCGCTCTGCTTTCTCTCTCGCACTCACGCGCACCCCGTATCGGTGCGAGAGAGACAGAGCGACGAAAACGACTCTCTGAATCGGTCTGCTGAGGGCGGCATTAGGGCGGCATTAGTCGTTAGAAACCAGCAGACGATCGATACGCGTTATGCTATGCCTGGCATTGAAAAGGAATTGATTGCTGTCAGCGAGACTCGAACCAGGCCCTTTGTCCGCAGCGTGCACGGCCTGCGACGACGCCCCGACGCTCTCGGCCAACTCGACTTCGGCGCTGAGCGGCGGCGGGCCGCAGCGGGGGGAGCCGCGCTGGGCGCTGGTCCCGCTGCTGCTGGCGCTGGTGCAGCTGCAGCTCTAAGATGGGCCACTTGTTGAAGAGCTGCGCGACGGACTGCAAGTCCAGGGCAGCGCGGGCCGGGGCGGGGCCGGGCTCCACTCGCCAGGCCCCGAGGCCCGCAAGGCCCCAACCCTTTACCCTGAGCACGGCCGGGCGCCCGGAGACAGCGCTTCATGTCTACGACGGCCGTCTCGCAGGGCCACTCGCAGGGCGAGTGCGGCGTGTTGTTGTTGTTTATTGTTGATGTTGCCTCCCGGGCGGGGAGGTCCAAGCCCAGCAGGGCCAAGCCCAGCAGGGCTTGCCAAGTCCCCGGGCAGCGCGGCGGCCAACCGCTGGACGGCGCCGTACCGCCTGCCCGGCTCGGCGTGCGGACTCGCACGCTCTTTTTATACGTCACAAATTTAAGGGTTTGTTAAGCAAAAAAAAAGTTTATGAAAAAGGGTTCTGATGTGTGTCTCTCACTCTGTTGTTGTTGTCTGCCACCAACGGCCTCTTGTCTTGTGCTGCGTTGGTGGCCCTCTTCTACTGCCTGTCATCTATCTAGCGTCAATGTCGCTTGTGTGTTCCAGACAACACGTGTATCTTAGTGAAAAGCTGGCTTCACTCGTGCCTCGCTGCGGCTAAAGGGACTGCGGGGCTGGGCGTTGTGGCAGTGTCCCCCAAAGTCCGATGATGCTCTTCTTTAATAGCTTTTGACTGATTGGATGACTACGTTGATTCCCTCGGCGGCCAACCCCTAGCTCTTAGATATTCCTGCAGAAATTATTTGATGTCATGCGAACGGCAAGTACCCTTTGTTCGAAATTGAAAAGGAGCACTGCGCCGCGTCAAGCACTCCGGACGCCATCAGTAACCGGCCAGTCCTGCTGCGGCGTTCGGCTCAGGGAACGCTGCTTCGGGCCTGTCCGGGCCTTCCTCTGGGTAGTATGCGCTTCAAAAGGTTCCTCTCGCTAAAATACTGCCACTCGTCCATGCTCCTGCTGCAAGCGTAGCCACGCCGGGGAACGAATGGTGTCGTCTTAGAAGGCTGTGGCATGTTTTGTACTCTTATACTTGTCATGTTTTCTTGTCTCATAAGTTGCGGGATCGGACCCGGCTGGCGGCAAGGAGCTTTCGGATTATTTTTTCTTCTTCAATAATTTGGCACTGGGAGGCAGCCACACTGAGATAGATGTCGATTCCCGGCGACTGTGTTTACAGGCCCCGGCCCGCCAGCCGCGTCCTGTGGCCTGGCCGACGGCCTGGCAAACCTGTGCAGTCTTGCCGGGAGAACGAGCACACCAAGTGAAATGTGACCTGGGTCGCCTGGGCGCGTTTTGTTCTCCCGGCCCGGCCCCCAGCATTTTTGTGTCAGCAGTGCTACAGACCAAGTATTGGCACCGGGCGATTTTTGGTCGCCTTTCACATAGCGCAGTACACTGCAAAAAAATCAAACAAGTGATCAATCATTTTTCAACATACCAACAATTTGTTTTCATAGACGATTTGCAGTGTACTTGCGAGACCGTGGCTGCATGTTGCGTCCGCAGGTTTACGCTCGTAGGTTTATTTTACTAACCACCCTGTTCGCACAAGCAAGGGATCAAACTGTGAAACATCGTCCGAGGAGACCAGACTCCCGTCCCCAACGTGACACTCACGTGACACTGGTGACACTGGTGACACTGGTGACACTGGTGACACGCCCCGCGGGGGACGAGAATCCTTCCTCTACCGGTGTGCTTTAGCCCGTGCGCCACACTTTTGCGCGTTACACTTTTGTGCGTGCACTATGCAGTGCGTCTTTTCGCGCGCTTTTCGCGCATGTGAATCTGGACACTGTTGCCAACCAAACTCGTCGCTACCTCGACGTGCCCGTAATGAAGCCTCCTCATCTTCACTTCCGAGCAACTTTATTTGTTTGTAGAATCTGTGCGTGTATGTGTGTGTGTGTGTGTGTGTGTGTGTGTGTGCGAGTGAGGAAGTGGCCAACAGGTTGGTACCACTGCTGATGAAAGGGACAGTTGTGGGCTGGACAGTAACTATGCGTGCCCCGCATTCTTATATAAGTATTGTGATATATTGCGAAATGTTTGGCGCACTGCTTTTGTGTAGACGAAACACTGTCGCTACTTATAGATTACGTATTGGACTTGCGCGGCGCATGCTCCGTCTCTTCCTTCGTAGCAACGTGTGTCGAAACATATCATTTTGCAAGTAAACATGCAACCAAGTGTAGTATACAAATACCGCCTTTGTAAGGTTATATTCTGTATTATATTTGTACCATAGCACAGTTCAATTTTCCTTTAGTGATTTGACGGGCCAAGTTGGGAAGACTTATTTTACACCGACATTTTCTTGATGAACTGGGTTGAAGTCGGATAACTTATCTGAGGGAGGGGGAGGGGGGATTTCCAGCAAGCTGACTTGCATTCTGATTGGTCGATCATGACTGGAATTGGAATGGCAAATGTAGTAGGTCTACTGCTCTAGAGACTCGATTAAACATATCATTTTTTGTAAAAACCAAAAAGAATTATAATAATCTTTAAGTTTGACACGTTGTGAGGTGGCCACACTCTTTGATCTCTTTGCTCTGGTCTTGTGAGCTTACCTCTTCCCCGTAGATATTAACAGCCTACGATACGGTCTAAGCCGTTCCTTTGCGCTACCATGTGTAGCTCTTGTAACAGGTACATATCACGTCAACATATCATATTACATGGGCAAGATACTAGCTGTACTATTGTACAATTCACTTTCTCAGATGTGATGATCACTGCGATTTGGTAATTAATAGAGATAGGGAGTGTGTCTGTGTGATTTAGCTGGTGACCGTTTGTGCTTTTGTGTGCCCGGACCGAGCCCGCCAAGCCCCTGTGGATCGGTAGGCGCCTCTCCCGTCACAGGCAGTGGGTGAAGAAGGAAATTAAGTGGGACCAAACTTGGTACGAGCTCTGGGCCTCCTTCACCCTGTTGATGAACTAACTTTGGGCAACAAAACCACGACTGTCGATTGGTGCCTTTAAGAACCGGTCCGTCTAAACTTTTCCCACCTCTGACGGCGCACTGCTGTCGGATGAATCTGACAAACATTAAGCTGTTTCGGCTATTATTAAAAGCACCCACAAAAATATGGCTTCTTCGGATCGGTCCGCGGCTTTTTGAGCAGCTCGCCTCGCCTTTGGTAGTCCTTTGTCGATGTGCTTTCTCTGGGCGTGCGGAATGGTGATCAGAGCTGCGATGCTCGCCAATAACTGTCGGATACTTTGATATAGACTTTAGGCCTAGTACAGTGCTCAGTATAGACAATCTTGTACCTGTAGGCCCCCGTAGCCTTCACGACTCACGCACCCCTTGCGTCCCTTGCGCCCTCGCGGCCCGCCGACCGAACAGGGAAGGCCATCCTTTAGCCCCTATCGCGTGTCCCAAAGGAGCCACACGCAGTTCCACGTCTCGGCCTAAAAAAAATCCTGCAGTCGGTCTTATTATTCTGAGTACAAATTTTGTCTCGTTGGGGCACGAATAAAATTTAAAACATCCAGGAAGGCGAAATTTATTTTTATGCTTCAGTTTGAAATTCAGATGCGTATACCCGCTCAAGCCAAGTATTTGCACGTCCATGTGGCGTTCCTTTTGCAGTAGAAGAATCTGTAGTTAATTTTAAAAAATTATTGGAAAATTCTAAAATATTGTTGCCACGAGATTTGCATTGTGTTTTCTTCAGGGGGTGCGTGGTGTCTGTAGTACGTGGGGGGCACCCTTAGTACCTCGCGAATGGGTGCGACATTTCAAAATGAATAACACTTTATATGCGTCTTTACCCAAAGGCAAGATAACGTGAATCTGAAATACTATTTTTCAACTTTTGCACTCGTAATGATTATTACTGTATTTAATTGAATGTAGGGAGATGATTTTCTTTGCTTTGTACACTTTTTACGGTGAACTTTTTTTTGTGGATCAATGTAATGTAAACTTTTCAGCAAGCAGGAACACCACTGTCCTAATTGTGTAGAGTGACAACACTGTTTCGTACCTGTCAATGTTTCAATGTGAATCGTCCTGCAACGTATTTCTAACTGTGCCGGGAGCTCCGTTATAAAAGCTTCATTGTTTTCCCCCGCTGTAAACGAACGGAGCGTTCCTCTGCCGCCTCGCTTCAAGAGACGCTTGACGATCAAAGCTAGCAGTGCAATAAGTTTAGTATAAATGTCATGTCAAAAATGGGCAAATAATGCTTCGTGTGTTCAGTCTGTATACCAAATACCTATCGTTTGTGCTTTAATGTGAAAAAAATGAAATTTACATATCATGAAATACATATCAATTGTATAGTGGCCTACTAGCCGGCTCGTTTATTTCCAGCCCGTCCCGTCCGCCCCGATTCTCCGGAAACGTTATTCGAGCGCGGCTTTTTATCGGCCGAGGGGTAAAACACGAAAACAGCCATCAGCATCGGTGGCCATCCGCGATCGTTAAAGCAAGAAGCGACATGGAATTAGTAAAAACTTGACCATCCGGCGAATCTGCTCGCCGGCAGCACGGGGCGTTAGATGGGGAACGGCATTTATTTCACATTGCTCAATTCAAAGGCAAACGTTGAGTTTGTCGTTGTTTGTATACAAAGGTGGGCCCAGCGACCGGTCGTTCTGCCATCACCATGATGACCTCTTTCCCAGAGACATTGGGGACTATAGACCTCGATTAGATACATTTATCAAACTTCTGGTTCAGTTCATAGAAAACCGTCGAGATGTTGTTGTTGTTAATAAATAGATTGGAAGGTCTGTCGCGGCCGTGACCTGGCACTGCACTGCCAAAGCCTTCCTCTTGTCTGGACCGGATAGCCGGCCGGCTGGGCTGGGCCATGGCTGGGCACTGCTGATGGCTATCCGCGCCTGCCAACTCAATCCGCACGTCGCCGTCGTCGCTCTGTCTCTCTCGCACTCGCGGGGCACCCCGACGAGGTGCGAGAGAGGCAGAGCGCTTTGCGGCAGCCGTCGGCCACCCCAGGGGCCTAATGGTAGTGGCTGCAGTGGCGCGCTCGGCCCGGCTCGGCCCGGCTCGGCCCGGCTCGGCCACACCGGCCAGACGGTCGCGCCGATTCTGGGAACCGCGGCAGTGGAGCAGCGGTGTCAGACGATTAGGGGGCGGTAGGGCGGCCACCAAATACAACTCTGTTTTTCTCGCCAAACTGAAATTGTTTTATTTTTCTCCTCTTAGATCGATACGACATATACGAAAAGAAAACTAATTATTTTTTTTAAAATCCCAAGATCAGCCGGGTTTGTATAAGAACATAACATTTACAACTACACATATTTACACTGTTGGCGCGCCTGTTGGCTCACTCAGTCGTGGACGCGCCAAACCCTCCAACACGGAGCATATCACAGGCGGGGGTGCTTAAGGTCTACATCAGCCTACAGGTAGGCCCTACAGCCGCACAGGGGAGCCACTGGGATGGGCGCGAAGCCCGACCGGCTCAGGCGCACGGCGAAGCTCGCCAAGCTGGCGAAGCTGGCGAAGCTCACCGTACTTTTTGGCACATTAAACAATCTACACCGACACTTAACCTAGCAGCTCTACTATTCAGTACAAGATTGGATCGACCTCTGACTCTTTCTTTCTTGAAGGGACACTGTGTCCCCCCGTGGTTTCGAGGTCTCGGATTCGGCACGGCGTGCCACGGCGTGGTGGCAACCAGGAGCATGGAGTGCTGACTAGACTTGGGACCTCTGGCGGGCCGCTCCTGCGCCGTCCGCGGCGACCAGCGCCGCGCTCCGGCGAGCCCTGCCCCGGCCCTGCCCTTCGGGTGGCCCTTGGGGTGGCCCTTGGGGCGGCACGGTGGCCGACAGCGGGGTACGAGGCGTCTGCGGGGCTTAGCCGTAGCACGCGATGTTGCCGGAGTAGTAGCCGTGGGTAGCTGCGGAAAGAAGGCGAGGTCAGCTTTCGAGTCGGCGCCAAAAAACATATTTCCAATGACAGCAGCAGCGGCAGTGACACTTACAGCAGAGGCCGGGGTACTTGGAGGAGGGCTTGGTGCCGTAGCGGGGGCAGGCGGGGGCGCCGGTGGCGTAGGGGGCGGTGCCGGCGACGTTGCCGCCCGGGCCGTAGTTGCAGACGTACACCTTGGTGTAGCCGCGGGACTGGTCGTGGTAGTAGGCGTAGCCGCAGCCCACCAGGTGCGAGTCGCCCCACACGAGCTGCGAGTAGTGGCCGGTGGCGGCGCTGGAGGAGCGGAAGCTGTAGCTGCGCACCTCGTTGAACCAGTTGCTGATCTGCTTGGCGAACTCGGGGGTGCCGCCCAGGGCGTTGGGCCGCGGGTAGGTCCACGAGGTGGCGATGTTCTGGCCCACGTAGAAGCGCGCTGCAACAGAACACAGGCGAGAGTGAGTCGGCTGCTGTCTGCGGTGCGGGCACTGCCTTTGGTTATCGCCGTGGATCGACTCTCGTGTCGAGTCTCGAGTCTCGGTACTTACAGACATGCCGCGAGTGGTCGTGGCCGGGCAGGCAAGAGTCGGCCCAGCGCTGCGCGACGGAGGCTAGCTCCTCGTCCCAGGTCTGCGGAGCGAAAACGACAAACGTGAGCAACCTTTGAATGGGCGCGCTAAGCCGGTGGGGGCCGCAGCCGCGGGCGCAGGGCAGGGGTGCTCACCATCTCCATCATGTTGGCAGCGCCGGGCTGGCCGGCCACGCGGCCCAGGGCGACGCTCTGCCGCAGCCGGTTGTGGGTGTCGAGGATGATCTGCTTGTCGGAGCAGCTGACTCCGCGACTGATGAGCTGCTTGCCGCCCTGCGAGCACGCCGCCGCCGTGGCCAGCACGCTCAGCGCCACGGCCGCCAGCAGCACGCCGCGCCGGCCGGCGCACGCCGCCCTCAAGGTCGTCATCGCGGTGTTCATGGCGTCTGCAAAGGAGCCGGCCAGTTAGCGGGGAGGACTCGGGTGACCCGGACAGGGCCAGGACGCCGCAGGGCTGTCTGTGTGGCACCCACCTGTAGTTCGATATCCACGCACGGTCGCACTGTCGATGTACTTGCTGTCACTGCACGTGAAACTTGCGCACTGTCACTGATTCACTGATCACTAGACACTTGGCACACTATCACTGACTGACTGCTGGGGATGCTGCCGACTGCCGCGCTCGCCTTGTGCTCGAGCCGTCGCCACTGCGGTCAGCTGCCCAACTGATGACCGTCCCAGCCTCCGGACGGTTTTTATACCTCGCCGGACCGCGCGGGGAGGCGGGGCGCGGCGGCGGGGCGGCCTGGGGGGCAGGGCAGGACAGTTGCCGGCCCGCACGCCGGCGAGGGAGGGGGCTGTGTCTCCGTGTGTGAGTGAGTGTTTTGCTGGCCGGTCAGTCGCCGTTCACGATAAGAGGTACGGCTCGACCCGCGCGGCGCTAGGTCATGCCGGTGCCCGGTGTCATTTGCCTCCGAATCGTCTGTTAATGAGAAATGTTAATTAATTTCGCCGAGTCGCGTCGCGCGGAGACTTCAACGCTGCTCGGCCGAGCGCCTGCCGGGTAGGCAACCAGTGGCGTGGAACGCACGCCTGCGCGGCGGTGCGGCCCACCCCGCAGGCGCTCTTTGCTCCCCTCTTAACGCTCTTTACTCGCGGCAGCGAATGTTTGGGAAGATGGGGAAGTGGGACCTACGCCCACTTCTACCTACCCCGGTGCGGCTTACACCTTCAGGGAGGGCTGAGGAACCATGACCCCTGGTAAGCGACAAGCGTGCCGACCGGGACCATGCATGCGGCAGTGTGTCTGACGACAGGGAACAAGAAACGGAAAGAATAGTTGGTACGCCGGCACAGTGAGAGGATGGGGCATTTTGGTTAGTTTAATGAACGCTATTCGAACGCCCTCCCCCTCGCGTTGGGGTCGACGACTCGGGGCGCGTCGACTAGAGTCGGCCGGGCCGGGCAGATCCAATTGGAAGCTCGTTGCTGGCTGTGTAGTGTGGCGGCGGGTGGATAGTGCCTGCCTATCGCTGCGGTCGGAGCCGGGCCAGCCGGCCAGCCGGGCCAGTCGGGCGGACGGGGCGCAATGTTTACCGCCTAATTTTCTCAATCGCCGCCCGCTGCACCCTATCACGCAGCCATCGGCGCCGCGGCCGGGGCGGAACCGGGTGGAACGGGGCGAGGCGTGGCGGGGCGTGGCGGGGCGAAATTGGCATTTTTTGCTCTCCTCTGCGGCCACGGGCCTCGCCGGCCCCACGGGCCTCAGGGGAAGCCCCCGCGGCGGCGGCAACAGGGTGAGGGGGGCGTGGCGCGGACAGGGTGTGGCCGCGGAGCCCAGGGCGGCCGCCACATCCACAACATCCAACTGGCGCGCAGCCGCTGCTGGCGCCACCCGCGGCATGGCGGCCTGGCCTCGGGCCCGGCGGGCCGGATGGGGTGGCATCCTGCTGGAGGCTGCGGTCTTGTTTCTCGTTCTCGAGCGCCACGTCTCTCTCGCACCCCTGCGCGGCGCCCCACCAGTGTGAGAGAGAGAGAGCGACGGGGCGCTGCCGTGTCCCCGGGGCACGCGGCACGCGTCGACGCGCAGCCCGGCCAGGCGCCGCCGCCGCGGAGGCTTGTTGTCTAAGGGTAAGCGGAGATCATGTTGACCCAGGGCGCGCGCCGTCGTCGCCGTCGTCGCGGGGATGTTGACGGAGGGTCCCAGACGGTGACCCCGCCGACCCCGCCAGCCCCGGGCGGCGGGCTGCGGGCTTGATGCTCTATCGCGCGCATAGGCCGACCTTCCGCGAACGAGATAGGCATGCCGCTCGGCGGGGTCGGCCGAGGGCGAGCCGACGGCCACTCGGTCACTCAAAGAGTAGTTTCGTCGCTCTGTCTCTGCCGCACTCATGCGGCGCCCCGTGCGAGTGCGAGGGAGACAGAGTGACGGGCCGGCTGCGGCACCCCACGGGGCAAGTACCAGTCGCACCGGCGTCATTTTCACCCCGACACCTTCCTCAAGGTTGCGGGTAATCCATCTGGTGCTCGCGATGCAGCAGGCTGATGCCTCTGTCTCCCTCCAGCCCACGGGGCGTTCCTCAGAGGGTGCGAGAGGGACAGCGGCGACAGTGCGGAATCAGACTGCAGCGTAATCCAGCGATTACAAGTAGAGCGGCCGGATGTGGCTCGCGGCACGCGTCAGCCTGGGCCTGCCTGGGCCCCGCAGTCCCGCACACTCGGAAGCGCCGAGAGGGGGGGGGAGGTGTCCAGTGTAGGCGGGCGGCGGTTGTAGCGACTCGGCTTAATTATGATCGAGTCTGCCGGCCGATGTTGGCCGTGTTTGTTTACGGCGCGCGTGTTCGTGTGGCGGATGAACGATGAACTCCGCGAGCTGGCCCGGGCTGGCCCGGCTGTCTCTCTCACGCCCTGCGCAGCGCTCTGTAAGTGCGAGGGAGACCGAACGACGGCGTCGCCGTGCACTTGGCCGCCTTTTTTACGAGGGTCACTCCGATGCGGGAACCTTCCCAATTCTCGAGGCGGCTCACGCGGGCGAGGGCCTGCCCTGCCGGGCCGGGCCTGGAAGGGAAGGGACGAGGACGAGGACGGCACTGCGAGGCGGCTGGAGAGGGCGCGCCAAAGCAAGCCCCAAGCCCCAAGCCCCAAGCCCGACGGCCCGATGCGAGAGAAGCGTTAACTTTGTCGAGTTAAAAGTTTGTTCCCGAGACGCCAAAGGCAGGGCAGGGCAGCCCGACGTGCCTCCAAGCCTTGAACGAGGCCGCTGGCGCGCGGGGCCGCGGGGCGCACAAAGAAACAGTCCAGCCGGAATAATCGACGCGGCCCTTCGGCCCTCCGCGCTCCGCAGTCTCATTCCGAGAGTCCCTCTCGTCGCGCCGTCTCTCTCGCACTCGTGGGGCGTCCTCCATAGGTGCGAGAGAGACAGAGCGACGAAAGCGACTCTCGGAATGAGACTGCCGTGCCGCTCGTCCGCGTGGGCCGGCCGGGCCTCTTGCCGGACTCCCCACTTTACAGTGCGGTTACACGGGCGCGAAGCAACTCGCGCGAAAACGCTTGGCGCCCGCTTGGCGTCATCGCGCAGTGTCGCGGCGGGCCCGAGAGGGCCCCTTTGTGGAACGTCACGGCGTTCCCTGCAGACCGATTCCGAGAGTCCTTTTCGTCGCGCCGTCTCTACACCTCCACGGGGTGCGACAGAGACAGAGCTACGAGGGCGAATCTAGGAATCAGTGTGCTGGCAGCGCTTGGCAGTGACGGCGCGCGAGCACGTAGAAACCAGTGTAGTAGCCAGAAGCCAAGACTAGCGGAAGCCCAGCGGGCAGCGGGCACGCGCGGCGCTTCAAACCTCAGCCTACTCACGCTGCAAGCGCGGCGCGGCGGAGCGTGTTTCACTGTTTGACTACACGGCCTGACTGGGCACTGACAAGCCGCGCGCGCGCGCGCGCGCGTGTGTGTGTGTGTGTGTGTGTGTGTGTGTGTGTGTGTGTGAGTGTGTGAGTGTGACGGTGTGCCGCGGCGTGTCTGTGTGGTGTGGGAGTGCCGCGGCGCGGCGGCCAGACTGTCGAAAAGAAAGGTCAGGGATCCGCGCGCGCCGCACAATCACACAATGCACGGCCGGCTGTCTCTCTCGCACTCACGGGGCGTTCCTCAGCGGCGCGAGGGAGACACAGCGCCGCTCGGAACCAACTAAACCTGCAGGAAGCGCGCGCGCAGTTTTACTATTGTGATGACATGGTCGTTTTTCAAGCCGTTCGTTTTCGGGCTGCCGTGAGGGGCGGACACGCGGACAGCGTGTGTGTACACTGTATACATCATCGGCCTGCTGTCGGAACGTCTTGTGGCGCCGTGCGTCAAAGCGTGAGCGCGGTGCGTCCCGCGGCGCCGTGCAGTCCTGGCCGTCCTGGCCGCCGTCGGGTCGGGCCCAATGGTCCGGGCGGGGCAATGTCAGGGCCACGGACACTCTGCCCGCGCCGACCGGCTCCGCGCCACGCAGCCACGCAGCCACGCACCGCCGCCATGTCGTCTTGCCTCGTCGGGGACCTCCCGGCCCGGTGACAACCGGCTCCACCCCCCTCTTTCCCCTTTTCTTTCCGGTCCAGCCATTAAGGTCCCAGCAGGAGCAGCGGTGCCAAACGCCAAACGCCCAACGCGGGTACCAGCGCGCCTCACCGACCGCCAACAGCCGTTTGGCCACAGAATAGGAAACAGTTAAAAAGAGGAAGAAAAAGATTTTGAGCGCTCGCGTTTTAAGCCTTTCAAGCTGGCACCTTGCTCGATTTATGGGTTCGGCGGCCCGTTTTATAGGAGCACTGCTCCTTGCCCCTTCGGTGCGTGCCCCGTGGCCGATCGAGGTGTAGTTGGCCGTGTCGCCGTGTCCCTCCGGTCCCTCCCTTCGGCGCCCCCGTTGTAATTTTCTGGTTTGTGGTCACGCCGCCGCCGCGCCGGCGCGCCGGCCCACCACTGTAGGCTGGGGCCGAGCCGCGCCTCGTTCGCTCTGTCTCTCTCGCGCCCCTGCGGTCCCCGCGGCACGCCGCGTGAGTGCGAGGGAGACGGCGGCGCGGTTCGGAGGCCTGCGGCCTGCGGGCACGACCCGCCACTGGCACGCCGCCAGCGCGACACCGCGACACTGGACAGTGGACACGCCAGGACACGCCAGGACACGCCAGGACGGGCCGGTCGCCAGGCCAGGCCAGGCGACTCACGCGGGCCGGGTCGCCTGGTCGGTCGGGTCACCTGGCCGGCGTCGCACGGGTCGTCACCTCGCCAGCAGCAGCCAGCGGCACCTCTCCAGACCCCGCGACGCCGGCCCCCTCCAAGAGGGCCTGCCGAGGCTGGCCAGCCGTCAGGTGCGGATCCAGGGTCCAGGGTGTTTGTGAGGAGCAATTACACCCTCCTTGAGTAAGCCCATAGTGGGCTAGAAGACCGGTGGAGGCGGCCGAAACTCTAGACGCGTTTTAAGCTCCAGAGTCGCTAAATGAGCCTCGAACCGAGCGTGTGACCCCACCGGTCGATTCCTCGTTCGGAGAGCAATCCATTGGTGGGGTCACACGCTCAGTTCGAGTCCTGTTTAGCGACTCTGGAGCTCACAACGCGTCTGGTATTTTGACCGCCTGCGCCTGCGCCGGTCTTCTGGCCCACTGTGCGAGGTCACGGTGCTCTGACAGCGCCCTGCAGGATCTTGATTGCCTCTCATTTCGCCGTCTGCATTGATGCATTGTTCCGG